ATGTGTTGACAATCCGTTCAGTCTGTACTTCACACAGTGTGGCATGTGAGGGCTCGCGCTCTTCAGAGACAATCACAGAATATGACAGAGCTCGTGTTTTAAAGCGAAACACACTGGAATGAATAATTCACTGAAAACGCAACGCGAGTCTCTGTTCTCTCTGCAATCTCTGATGTAATCAGCCTGGTTTCCTTTATATTAGCGCTGTTTTGGACGGATTGTTTGAATGCATTCGCTTACTGGATCATTGGACTGAAAACTTTCCCGGAGTTTAGCGGCTTAAAATGATCTGATCGCAAGCAGAGAAGCAAAATTGGGTTAAAGGGTTAGAATAGAAATTGTGCTTTGATTGCGTTAAATTATTTTAATGCGTTAAGGATTGTAAAATGAATTGCATGCGTTAACGTTGACAGCCCTATTTTTTTTTTTAATAACAATGATGTGCAAGAATAAATCATTTATAACTGTAAAACTGCATAAAATGTGTTAATCTTGATTTTATGGTGTCTTTAAATTGGTACTCTCAGTGTCTGAAACATGCAAATGCTAAAAAAAACATTTTCCCACAGAAAAGGAAACTCATACAGGCTTTAAACCCCACAAGTCTGCTTAGATGATAACAGGATTCATTTGGACCGAAATGTCCACTGTATGAGTGATACCCTCACCGTTCGTGCCGTTAACACATCCTGCAGTATCTGAGAGGGACTGGGCTTCTTCTCTCTGTACTGCTCCATCAGGTAGTTCTGTCGGGCTCTTTTGATGATCTGAAATGAAGAGGTCACACTGATGATTGGATCTTGAGAACACTGTATCACATGTGGCCTTCAGAATTAAAGCAGCAGTTTCATTTGACCAAAAGCATGAGGTATTAGGTTATATAGAATAAGGTCAACTACATTCAGACTCTGCGCAAACACTGCTCTTACTTTGTCATCAATATCTGTGATGTTCATACAGTAGAAGACATCGTATTTGAAATAATCCTTCAGTATTCTCCGCAGTATGTCAAAAGAAATGTAGGACCTGAAAGAACAAAGGCATTGATTGAATCCTCATGAAATACAGAGAACTGATACATCATAAACGCTGTGTGAGCCTTGGATGGAAGATGTTTATATTTTCTCTTTTTGCCTATGTTCATTGAACCATATTCAAACACAATAGTTCTTTGAGATTTGATTTACAGCCTCACATTCACAACTAACCAATTCTGACCCTGGATTGAAAGCTGAATGTCTGCTTCAGCCTTTTCATTGACTGTTGTGCTGTGTCTACTGTGCTGCTTTCAACAGCTGGGGAACACTGAAAACAAACAAACACTATGAATGGATGGGGAATATGTCACCTGGCATGACCCATGTGAGAAGCATCATACACTGTGGGGCCGCAGCAGTACCACAAAACCCTGTTGCCCTTCTGTGGAACAAACACCTCCTATAATGCACAAAACAAGACAGATATGAACGATTTTAACAGTTTATTATCATAAAACAGCATCCATTTTTTAAGTTTATGAAAGAAGTCTGAAATGATTTGATAATTCAGTAAATACAGTAAAAAAAAAAACACAGTGACATTATCATTTGAAAATAACTTTATATCTGAATCTGTTTTAAAATGTAATTTATTCCTGTGATGGCAAACATTATTCCATTTTTCAGTGTCACAAGTGCTCACTAAGACTGAGTTTATTTGATCCAAAATACAGTAAAAACAGTAATACTGTGAAATGTTTTTTACAATTAAAAACAATATTTATATAAAACAAATATTTATATTTGAATATGTGTTCAAATGTGATTTATTCTTCTAATAGCAAAGCTGAATTTCCAGCAGCCATTATTTCAGTTTTCAGCGTCACATGATCCTTCAGAAATAATTCTAATATGCTGATTTGGTTTTATTTTATGCTCAAGAAACATTTCTTATTATTATCAAATGTTGATATTTTTGTGGAAACCTTGTTTTTGATTAATAGAAAGTTCAAAAGAACTGAATTTATTTGAATTAGAAATTTAAATCTGTAACTGTAATTTAAATCTGAAACATTATAAATTACTTCACTGTCACGTTCGATGAATTATGTGCATGCCCGCTGAATGAAATTATTTCTTAAAAACTTACGCTTTGGAAAAAAAACGTCTGCTAAATGACTAAATGTAAATGTAAAAAACATGTTGATATTGTAGATTTTTTAAAATACTTGGACTAATTTGATTATGTTTTCGGCTACCAATACTACAGTAATATAACGTATAGAAAGTTGTGGATTTAGTCTAGTCATTTTCTGCATGTCACCCACACATTAGGCCATGTTGTTTATCTTTCATACTGTACCTTGGTCCGTGTGAGACTGTTGTAAAGACGCAGCTTTGAAACGTCTGTGCCTTCTGGCAGAGACCATGGTGGCTGCACCCGCTTTCCCTTTGCTGAAAAACAAGAGACACTTTTTTTTAACCCAAATGACTTTGTCTAGTTTAAAAATGAGTCACCTTTACAGATTAATTTATAATATTCAACCCCTAAACTGAACAACAGGTGCATTACGGGAAATAGTTGTTCGTGCACACCTGCTGCACAATTATAAGAGTTTTTTTTTTTTTCCTCATAGAAAACATAAAAGATGTGTAAATGAAAGTAACACATACACAGTGTGAAAGTGAAACAAACAATGTGCAAACAAGCCACTGAACATTGCGTCCAATGAAAGAATTGTTTAAAACCACAAACACCACAGTCAACTATAACTCAACCCATTCCAGTCCCGTTCAGAACAAACCTGAGAAGTGATCGTCTTGTTTTGACTGTACATTTCTTGTCAGATTCCCGTCAAAGCCTCAGCTCATGTATACTAACTAACACATCAAACTACCCACATCCTCAAACTCATGCGACACATACTGCAAATGTCCTCAGCACAGAAACACCAATAACTCAAAGTACAATTCAGCTACAATCTACGTTCATGCACCCTGACTACGACAGGGGGAGTTCTGTCTACTCACTGCTGCATTCTGGGGTCTGGTCATTCGTTTGGGGCTTCAGGGCGGCTATGTGTTTGTACCAGCGCAGGGCGTGGACATGCCGCTCAGGTGGGGGCCCGCTTAGAAGCGCAAAGGCTTCTGCATCCGCCTGCGAAGGCCCGTAGCCAGCCAGGTAACTGCGACTGCTCAAGTACTCATTCAGAGCCTCAACCCTGCGAGCTTCCTCACTTATGCGCAGTAAGAAGCCATAATCAAAGGCTGGGAAAACAAAAGGGCATAGACACACATAAACACATAGACGAGCAGACATTAGAAATGAGCTAAGGGCCCGTGGGTAATGACTGTGATGACACCTGTAATCCTGTCTCTAACCTCATTCCTCTGAAACATAAGCTGTAATAATCAGCTAACACACAATTGTGAAACAATACACTCACAACTTTCATAATGTCAATTAATTTAATAATTGTTTGAGTCAAAAAAGACAGAGAGAGCAATACAATATTTTAAGGCAGACTCAAACAGATGGAACATATTTGGAGCACAAATAAACTTGTGAAGGGCCATTAAAATTGTTGCCGTTAACTAAAACTATTAAAAAAAAATTTTTTTGTTAATTGAAATAAAGCTGAAATAAAATAAGATATAAATATTAGGTAACTGAAATAAAAAAAAGTTTAAAGTACTTAAATGACTAAAACTGAAATAGAAATATACACAATTTTTTACAAATAAAAATATTTAGAAAATGAATTAAAATGAGGAAAGCACATAACAAAACCACTAAAACTTAAACTACAATAAACAACATTTAAAAAAAACTATTTGAAATATGAATAAATACTATAATAACATTTAAAAAAAACACCTATTAACGCATTAACATGCTATTAAAAACATATTAAAAATGCATGACAAAATTCTGAAAAAGAAAATGAAACCTGTTATGAACCTGTTTTTCATTAAATCAAAACCAATTATGAATCAGTCAAGGCTGAATACATCTGACTCATTTACTGAACAGCATATTATTATTATACAGCACATAATTATATATACCTCTGTGTGTGTGTGTGTGTGTGTGTGTGTGTGTGTGTGTGTAAAACATTATTTGATGTTATCTGTTCTGTTTTAATCTGATAATGATCTTACCATCTTGCAACAGACTGTATTGCGTTCCCTAAAAGACCAACAAATACTACCAGTATAATATAAACGTTAAGGAAACCGAAATAGGTAAATTCCATTCAATTCCCATTCCTATATGAAATTATTTAACTCCTTACAGTATGTGTTACTTCGGCTGTCTGATTTCAGCTTATCTGTCAAAACAATGTAGCTAATATAACAATATGACAGTCACACGTGAATAGGAGAGACTCAGGCATGTTGCCATATATAACATTACATGTTTATGTTACGAGCGGTACCTCAATAGAATAAATAGTGGAAAACATCCTGTAACAGCTGCAGGTTTAAATAGGACCTGCATTAATGAATAACTTAAAATAGGCCTCTACAGGAGAAACACGCGTTAATGTTCTACAGCGTACATAATGACTGTTACATCGCAAATGAAGTAAAAATAAGTAAATAGAGAAATTTACCTATATCTCCTGTGCTTGCCATTTTCCACTACCTGATGCAACAATAACGTGTCCGGAAAACCTGATAGGAAATCACAATGAAACACAGGACATGCACAAAAGCAATGATGTTTGACGGATCGCTAGATCATTTACACGGCTCTCTTGCGTGTCTTATCCATAGACTGTATGGTCTTATCACATACGGATCCGATGTCCTTCTACACCGATTACGCGAATAGTACTTCCGGACAAATTTTAAAGCTCCCTTCGTTCCAAAATAAAAGTCACATGCCAACAATAATTACTTGTATAATACCCGTTTGATAATACTGAGCAATTTTAATGATTAAAGTAATTCATTGCTTACATTAAACATTTCCATTACAATTTTAAACATTTAGTATAAGCTTACATTGAGATTTTTCATTACAAAGATATATAGGCCTAACGTAGATGACAAACAGCTTTAAACTTCCAGTCCCGTTCAGAACAAACCTGACAAGTGATCGTCTTGTTTTGACTGTACATTTCTTGTCAGATTCCCGTCAAAGCCTCAGCTCATGTATACTAACTAACACATCAAACTACCCACATCCTCAAACTCATGCGACACATACTGCAAATGTCCTCAGCACAGAAACACCAATAACTCAAAGTACAATTCAGCTACAATCTACGTTCATGCACCCTGACTACGACAGGGGGAGTTCTGTCTACTCACTGCTGCATTCTGGGGTCTGGTCATTCGTTTGGGGCTTCAGGGCGGCTATGTGTTTGTACCAGCGCAGGGCGTGGACATGCCGCTCAGGTGGGGGCCCGCTTAGAAGCGCAAAGGCTTCTGCATCCGCCTGCGAAGGCCCGTAGCCAGCCAGGTAACTGCGACTGCTCAAGTACTCATTCAGAGCCTCAACCCTGCGAGCTTCCTCACTTATGCGCAGTAAGAAGCCATAATCAAAGGCTGGGAAAACAAAAGGGCATAGACACACATAAACACATAGACGAGCAGACATTAGAAATGAGCTAAGGGCCCGTGGGTAATGACTGTGATGACACCTGTAATCCTGTCTCTAACCTCATTCCTCTGAAACATAAGCTGTAATAATCAGCTAACACACAATTGTGAAACAATACACTCACAACTTTCATAATGTCAATTAATTTAATAATTGTTTGAGTCAAAAAAGACAGAGAGAGCAATACAATATTTTAAGGCAGACTCAAACAGATGGAACATATTTGGAGCACAAATAAACTTGTGAAGGGCCATTAAAATTGTTGCCGTTAACTAAAACTATTAAAAAAAAATTTTTTTGTTAATTGAAATAAAGCTGAAATAAAATAAGATATAAATATTAGGTAACTGAAATAAAAAAAAGTTTAAAGTACTTAAATGACTAAAACTGAAATAGAAATATACACAATTTTTTACAAATAAAAATATTTAGAAAATGAATTAAAATGAGGAAAGCACATAACAAAACCACTAAAACTTAAACTACAATAAACAACATTTAAAAAAAACTATTTGAAATATGAATAAATACTATAATAACATTTAAAAAAAACACCTATTAACGCATTAACATGCTATTAAAAACATATTAAAAATGCATGACAAAATTCTGAAAAAGAAAATGAAACCTGTTATGAACCTGTTTTTCATTAAATCAAAACCAATTATGAATCAGTCAAGGCTGAATACATCTGACTCATTTACTGAACAGCATATTATTATTATACAGCACATAATTATATATACCTCTGTGTGTGTGTGTGTGTGTGTGTGTGTGTGTGTGTAAAACATTATTTGATGTTATCTGTTCTGTTTTAATCTGATAATGATCTTACCATCTTGCAACAGACTGTATTGCGTTCCCTAAAAGACCAACAAATACTACCAGTATAATATAAACGTTAAGGAAACCGAAATAGGTAAATTCCATTCAATTCCCATTCCTATATGAAATTATTTAACTCCTTACAGTATGTGTTACTTCGGCTGTCTGATTTCAGCTTATCTGTCAAAACAATGTAGCTAATATAACAATATGACAGTCACACGTGAATAGGAGAGACTCAGGCATGTTGCCATATATAACATTACATGTTTATGTTACGAGCGGTACCTCAATAGAATAAATAGTGGAAAACATCCTGTAACAGCTGCAGGTTTAAATAGGACCTGCATTAATGAATAACTTAAAATAGGCCTCTACAGGAGAAACACGCGTTAATGTTCTACAGCGTACATAATGACTGTTACATCGCAAATGAAGTAAAAATAAGTAAATAGAGAAATTTACCTATATCTCCTGTGCTTGCCATTTTCCACTACCTGATGCAACAATAACGTGTCCGGAAAACCTGATAGGAAATCACAATGAAACACAGGACATGCACAAAAGCAATGATGTTTGACGGATCGCTAGATCATTTACACGGCTCTCTTGCGTGTCTTATCCATAGACTGTATGGTCTTATCACATACGGATCCGATGTCCTTCTACACCGATTACGCGAATAGTACTTCCGGACAAATTTTAAAGCTCCCTTCGTTCCAAAATAAAAGTCACATGCCAACAATAATTACTTGTATAATACCCGTTTGATAATACTGAGCAATTTTAATGATTAAAGTAATTCATTGCTTACATTAAACATTTCCATTACAATTTTAAACATTTAGTATAAGCTTACATTGAGATTTTTCATTACAAAGATATATAGGCCTAACGTAGATGACAAACAGCTTTAAACACTGTGGGTTTGCAGACCTTCTAGTTTTCAATTTATTTCCATATTGTCATAAATTATTAGATTAAACTGTCATATTTTCGTTGCTTGTGTGTGTGTGTGTGTGTTGAAATCTGTAAATACAGACCACTAGGGGGAATCCAAGTACAACCTCAGAAGGTTGATTGAATGACGACAGTAATGTCATTTTGGGTGAACTATCCCATTTAAACAGAGAAGTCTTACAAAATCACAAGCCAGTTAATAGAATTATTATTTTTTTCCATTTACGTGTAACCTGTCTGCTTATAACATCTTATTAGAAAAGAAATATGCCTGGTTTAAAATCACAATAATAAAAAAAATGGGGAAAACAGTGTCAGTAGCCTATATTTCTTTATTATGAACATTATTAGCTTGTGAATTATTATTAGTTTGTGAATTTCTAAGAAAACAATTGCCAGCAAGATTATTGTTTGTTTTGTTCTTTCTTTCTTTGTTGTTGTAGCCTACGAAATCACACTAGTATACTGAAAGTTGCCACGCGCGATTTCATGGCATTCGTTTTTGCTATAGGTCAAGGATCCTGTCAGCCAGCTCTTATTTTAGGACTGTGACTCCAGACAGACTACAGACCCTAACCTCTTTGACAAGGGCGCAGATTACTCGTAGCTGTTGAAGGCCAGACGACACAGACCTCCCCTCACAGAATACCAATGGAACGTACGAGAGTGACTCACATAGTCTGTGTGCATGCTTGATTTATTTGTGTTGATCGTGTTCGAGATCTCATCATCATACACCTCTCTGTCAAACACGTGATGTGCGTACATAAAAAGCATTTTTTGGTTGTCCAATTAGTCCAACTGTTACTCGTTTTACAATGAAACACTTAAATCGCACTCACAGCATGTCACAGTGGTTGATAGTAATTCCAGTTCACCGTGGTTCAGCTGTGGCAGATCCTTCTGGATTCACACCTAGATTAGACGAAAGCTGCAGGGCCCAAGGCGAATATATTGTCATTACAACAACTGCAGATAACTTTCCTTCATGTCTATCTCCATCTGAATGAACCCTTCCATGCAGTTGTCAGTATGCAACAGCTATGTGACCGTCTGATGCTGGAATGACAAGGCGCTGACAGACCTGTGTGACAGTGGTCAAAAGAGTAGGCTATGCTATCCAACACATCAAATTCGCGGACAGTTGTGCATGGAATTGATAAACAGTTATTTAATAGAATATGACTTTTGAAAGTGCCAAAAGTTTCAAAAGGACACCAAGGAACTGTCATTTCGGCTAAAGTAATGAAATCATCAGCATATCCTGCAATGTATTTAAAAGAAGTAGGTGAATAGGGTTCTGTCAAGACACAATATTTGTGTATTACAATAGGCCTATTCAGTTAAAGGACAGGGCTGAGCTTTTAAAGGTAAGGTCAAGGCAAGATACATAAATCAAAAGCTAGTGGTTGTTGATGTTCAGTTGTGTCCTTTATGTCTCAGGGTCAAAAGGTGGACACTGGACATAAGTAGGCCTATGAGAGAAAGTGAAAGCAGTCTCAAAGTTATGTATATTAATTCCCCATAAAACAACCTTCAGAAGATATTGAAAAAGACACAAAATGTTAGTCCATTCATGTTTTATTAAAAGGTAAAAGGTGAAGTTTTTAAAAAGTTCGTTTGATTTAAAAATGATTTGATGCTTTTCATGAGAGTTTGAAACAAAAGACCCCTCAGAGCCAGAATTGACTGTAAGGATGAACTCAACTCACAGAATGACACTTTTTTCATAACTGTCAATCTCTTTGGGCCTATTTGTCCAATATAAGATTTTCTTGGGGCTTTTTATACAGCATATTTTCATTAGCAATAACACACCCTCTAGTATAAAGCATCTCTTTGTTTAATTCTAGATGGAAATTGATACAATTAAATTCAGGCAACTAAATGCGTACTTTACCTTATGTAGGCTATATTAAGAAAGTATAGGCACACATCCTAAACCTATTCTTTATTTGCTGACAAGCATATAAAATATAAAGCGGAATACAAAACTACAGATGTAAAAGCTGTGGCTTCCTGAAGGTTAGAGGTTGTTCAAGAATACTAAAAATATTACAAATAAACAAAAAAGCAGTATGATTGGGAGGGAACATCTGAAGATTCTTTGCTACAGTCAGACTCTAAATTTAACCCATCCGGTCCCTGTTTCCTTATCCTCCATCCACCTTTAGATTCTTTAGTTCTGTCATCCAATGGAGGTGATGGAAGGTGGGCTCAATCATAGGTCATGGGTGAAGGGGTGGAAAGGATGGTTTGGGGCATGTACTGTGTGACATTTGGGGGGTGTGGGGCGGGGGTATCTATTAAAAGAGAAGTGTTGGTGTTTGAGTCCACAATGCCTGTTTGTTGGAACCCTGTAGGGACACTCAACCAGGATGCCAGAGCCAACTAAAAAAACAGGTATGCCCGTGTTTATTTTGTTCATAATTCTTTGACAAATAGCACATTTGAATAAATAACACATTTTTGTCAGTCAGGAGACTTTTAACCGGTGTTGTTTTGAGTTGTTGGTTGAGGAAATGTTACCTGAATTTTGACCCGATGTGTGCTGGGTTTTCTGTGATTATGTTCTTCTTGATTATGTGAATTGTTGTTCTGTATCATGTGAACAATTCATCTGTAGTAATTTGAACAACATATATTGGGCAATGTCAGTTGATTTGATGAGCAGTTTCATAATATTACCACAATGTTCTTTTTAAAAGTACTGCATGCTGCAGCTGCTGTTTTTTAAGCCTACTGTACGTATAGAAAGCATTCAAAGCATGTGAATGTAGTGTGCACCTTTCTTGACGTTCTTCTTCTTGGCAAAATAAAAAAATATATATATATATATATATTATAAACTACCTTCTTTTAAACCAAAACACCATTTGATGGCCTATCTAAGCAAAAGTGATAGAATAATGGCAGTGGATTAAAGGACTTTTTTTTCCAAAAGTGCACAGAATAACACTGCCTAAACGGGAATTAAAGGATTGTCATAATGTGATAGCACCTGTTTTGACAGCCTACTGTGGTGATATTCGCTAAGACCTACAGCATTCTAACAATGCTGTTGCATTACTTTTTAGCATTAAGCAATGGAGTTGTGGTAGCCCTAAAATCCATCTGCAGACACTTTCTCCTCCCTTTTTAATCTCTTCAGCATAATTCAAAGGTTCTAGATGAGTGGCTCTCTTCCAGGGGCCAGGGCCAAATGGGGTCCTCGGAATACTTCCAGGGAGGCCCAAATAAGTCTTAAAATGTATGTAGTTATAATCTTAATTGAAATGATAAAAAATATGTACAATATTAAACTGACATACTTTTTAAACAACAAATACCAGAGGTAAAGCTAAGATAAGAAGGTCGAATATTGTCTTGGACAAAGTTAAAGGAGACCAAAAGGGTGAGAAGCACTACTCTTGACTTCTCCACAGCAATATGATCTTAATAATAGTTTATCATGACTGAACAGATTTTCTTTTGAAGGCTTTTAAGTGACACACCCAGGCTTTGTTTGAGGGGCAACCATCAGCATCTAGTATAAGCTTCATGATAAATGTTACCTTCATGAAATAGTTTCCCTTCCATTTCAAATGAACATGTTTCGTGCTTACCATACATTATAGTTCAAAACATATTTACCACAGAGACATCATTAGTTTATTATCACTGCTCCCAACCATCCAGATGGCAGCACTGGAACAAAGATAATGTGGATACCAGTGGTTTTGAAATGGCAAGAGAGGGATCAGTCCTTGATAAACAACAGAAATAGATCCTAGCTGATCCATCTAGCAGCTACCTGGGGCTGTGTCAACGTGGGGAGCACATGCATTCTATTTTTAAACCCAGAGGGTTGGCTTGTTTTATGCTCAAACCATTTGCACTGATGTGACTGAAGATGTGTAACTCAAAGTGAAAGAAAGAACAATGAATAAGCATGTAAGAATTCAAGGCATGCAATAAACTAAATACATCATGTGTTTTAGTTTTTTTCACTGGACATAAAAATAAGACCGCTACAAATCCATTTAGTTTAGAATTACATTTATAGTTTGGAATGTAGATAGCACATTGCTAAAAAAAAGCACAATGACAAAAACAATACGAGTGGAATTTGTCTTCGATTTTTAATCCTGACCAATTATGTAATAACTTTGCTAAGTTTGGTGGGCAAAATTATATATTGTAAATATAAATTAGACTTGTCTTATAATTCTTGCTTTTATTTTAGGGTGACTTAAGTGTACATGTTTTCTTGTATTTTTAAACGACATCTCAGCATAAGGCCATAGTCTTCAGGCACATTGAAATTATGTGATATCGGAGAGACTAGAGAGGAAAAGGGGTCAGGGCAGGACATTTTCAGAGATAAGAGCTTGATGTCGAGATTTTGGAAATGCATCCTTTCCTTCTGACCTACCCTGCGTTCCTCACTCCTTCAGTCTCAGCTTTCACCAAGAAACCAAAGACTCAGACGGCTGAGATTGGGGCAACGGTCATATTTGAAGCAGAGACTGAGAAGACTGATGTAAAAGTGAGATGGCAGCGAGACTCCAAGGACATTGCATCCAGTTACAAATACACCATCTCAGCGGAGGGCAATATGCACTCTCTCACCATAAACAATATAGTTCAGGAGGATGCAGTGGGATATGCTGTTATTGCTGGGGTGTCAAAGGTCAAATTTGAATTAAAGATAAAAGAATCAGAAGGTGGGTGATGTTTGGATGGTGACTCACATCTTCCTGTATTTAACTCACTTTTAGCCCACCTTTGGATTATTTGTAAACCAGTCACAGAGCACCACAACCAATTCTCCTTTCCAATTCACTTTTCTCTAAAGTTGCAACTGATTGTTTTTTAAAGCACCTTTTCTGAGCATGTTGTCACCATTTTAAGAATTTCCCAGCCTTCTATGGAATTTGGGAAACTCACCAGAACTCTTATAGCTGTTCTTCACTTCAAACACTTATGCCCTTCAGTGCCCATTCATGGAGCTTGTGATCCTGTTAGGCATTGTGCATGGACAAAATATATTTATGGGTTCAATTAAATACTGGAGGAATAGCTAGCCTAATAAATCTTTCAATCTTTCATTACAAACAGATTTAATTTGAAGCTATAATCATCAGGGGAAAAGCAACAGAATTATCCTTGTTGAATTATTATATCCTTGTATTAGTGCCAATTTTTAGCACACTTGTCACATGGTATACAGTATGGCCAATGTTTCATATCCTCCATTAATGCTGTGCTTTATCTGGATATATTGAGACTAAAAGGAGTTTTAAGTCTCTACCAGTGTTGTTTCAGTCAGTGGTTATTAGTCAGCTCCTTAGAGCCATTTATCAAATATCCAGACACAGCGGAAGATGAAAAGCAAGACTCTGTCCTAATTTGTGTGGCCATTGGAATCCTGAAGAGAGTGATATCAAAGCTAAAAGGGCCCATGAGAACAAAACTTTGCACGTAAAAGCATGTTCATTAATAGACAGGTATAGTGCATTTTGAGGGCATGTGTAAAATGTTTTTAGCCTCTGATTTTTTGCCTCACAGAATCTGGCTTTAAGTTTAAAACGCTGTACTCAAGAGCCCCATGAGCTGAAGAATTAGCATCTTGCTCTGACCTTTTTTGTGATATGTAATTCCTTTTATAGATGCAGGAATGATGAATTATAAATTAGTGATGGAAGTAAGTAAAGAAGTAAAAGAAGTAAACACTTCTATGACCCAGATGGGTGAATATCACTTGTTTTCATCTGCCAGAATGGCATTTTAAGGATTTTTTCACTGTTGCAGTGAAGGAAGCACAAAAAGCTGTATCCCCAGACCCTGCCGTTGCAGAACCTAAGCCTGAAGAACCTAAAAAGGCTCCACCAGCACCTACTGGAAGCTCAGCCTCGGACACCAGTGGAACCGTGTCAGATGGCTCAGCAACTGAAGGTGAATACAAAAGCACACGGACATATTTCAATATGCAAATTAATTTCATTACACATTTAAAAATATTAAAATTGACTGGATAACAAACCTATTGTTCTGTTTGTTCTTCAAGGTCTGCTTGAGAGTCATCAGCCTGACACAAGGCAGGACCTTACTGGTCTCTTCACTGAAAAGCCTCAAAGTGGGGAGGTAAATGTAGGTGAGTAACAGAGCCTCTGGTCACGAAGAAATGGGTAGTACATATGAAATATAATTTTTCTTCCAATCTGTTTCCCAATGTAGGTGAGAACATTACTTTTGTTGCTCGGGTGTGTGGTGAATCTCTGCTGAAGAAGCCCACAGTAAAATGGTTCAAAGGAAAGTGGATGGATCTGGCCAGCAAGTCAGGAAAGCACCTGCAACTCAAAGAGCACTATGACCGCAACTCTAAGGTCTGACAGTGGTCAATACCAAACAGTTATGTAGTATACTATATCAATATGTTTAGAAACGCTTGAAAGTCAAAAGTAAGCAAAAGGAACCTTTTCTATTCAGGTGTACACCTTCGAGATGCATATCATTGCAGCTAAAGCCAACTTTGCTGGAGCTTATCGTTGTGAGGTCTCCTCTAGAGACAAGTTTGACAGCTGCAATTTTGACCTGGTAGTACATGGTAATAAAAATAACTATATGCAAGCTTAATAAATATCAACAAGGAATGAATAAGTCTTAATTGATAACAGTACCAAATTAATTGGTAATGTGTGCTTTTCACTGTGTACGTTCTACTCCAGAGGCACGTACAACAGATGGGTTTGATATTCGCACTGCATTTAGACGCACGTGAGTATTTGTCTTTGTTTTTAATTAACTACAAATAATTAATTTTAACAACTGCATCATAAAATTTGAAAAAGATGATTACTCATGCAGGCCAGCAGTATCATGCCATTTCGCAGCATATTAAAGTGTTGGTTTGTTTGCTTTCTAGAATGTTGTGGGGTTTGATGACATGATTTTGTGTGCGTAGATCCTAGCGCTTCTTTATGTGGTTTGTTTTAATGTAAAGATAGCATTTGAGTCCATATTTGGGATTTAACATTTTGTATTTATATTGCATTAACCCTTTTTGGAACTGCTGATTACCCAGGAGCACCAGTGCAGGTGGTAAGAAGAAGATGGGAGAACCTGGCAGGTAGCTATAGGGGTTTGCTGCAGCAGCTGGGGATATACTGTATTCGCACAGTCATTGTCTTTACCCAACCAAACCCTCTGCTTTGTCATCAAAGAGTTCATTGAGTCCTACAGTGTCCATCCGTGTCCCTCTGTCAGTCATCTGTTATAGCTTGCCCTTTTCTTTCTGTCCTTTTCAATCTTCCCCCTTTGTCTGCCAACATCTAAGGAGAGTGATATTAGTCATTGCTGATGCTTTATGACTCACTCGCCAAGGATCTTTGCAAACTCTCATTTCCTTTCTGTTCTCTTCTTCTGTCTCTTCTCACACTTTTCTCTGTTTTTGTGAGAAGGGCAATTTCCCAACACTCATTACTGGCGTATCTGAGGCAGGGGGCCTTAAAGTGAATATGATTTCCCTGTTCACTGATCTTTTCAAGTGCAGACACTGATTAGGAGCGAGCAAATTAGAGGATCACACTAATAACGCTGCCACCAGTTTCATCAGTTTGAAATACTTTCATTCTGGTTATTTGAAACGTAATAACAGAAATCTCTTGATGCACTTCTTAACTTTGGCTGACACCTTGTCAAAATCAGTGGAACTAGCTGCGCAAACTTTGAGTGACGTGTCTCTTTTGTTGCTCCTCTTCATGTCTTTAAGACGTTCCTTAAAGAAAGCTCATCATGGGTCATACATACAAATCCTTAAAATACTACTAGCTTCACAGATCAGAAAGAAGACTCAAGATGATGAAAGAAGGATCGAGATGATCACTTGTTATAATATTGTTGCCTTATAATAACTATATAGCTGCCTAGGTCTTTGACATGTATACAGTGATGTGTGATCATAGCGGGCGTCTGCTATGGATTTCTTCTGTACATCAGCATTTCTGTGTTTTTAACCCTCGTCTTTGACATCCTCCAACAATGTGTGTTCAAAAACAGTATAGAGCAGCTCTGTTCCAGTTTCTATTGCCTCAGTAATGCTGTCTGTATAATGCGCATGCATTGTTTGTGCATCTACACACCTGTCCTATATGTTCTTATGTGTCAGTATACACTACCATTCAAAAGTTTGAGGTCAAAAAGATCTTTTAAACTTTTTTTGTTGTTGTTTAAAAGAAATACATATATTTATTCAGTAAAGATGCATTTACAATATAATAAAAAATTAATTAATAATAATAGATGCTTCTTGAGTACAAAATCAACATCAATCGACACTGAAGACTGGCGTAATGGCTGCTGAAAATTCAGCTTTGCCATTACAGGAATAAATGTTAAAGTATATTAATCAGTTATTTTACTAATACTATTTAATAATATTACTGTTCTTACTGTAATTATTGATCAAACAAATGTAGCCTTGGAGAGCATAAGAGACTTCTTTCAAAAACATTTAAAAATCTTACCGATCCCAAAACTTTTGAACAGTATAGTGTTCATCCATTCCATATGATAATACCAACATAATTGATATTCTGTTCTTTTACAAAATAATACATTTCCGTTTTTAATAAATGACTGCATTTTAGTGTTACAGAAGCTGTTTTACCTAGTTTGAAAATGTACCTTACAATGAGGTGAGAATGTAACATAGTTCTGTGTGCTCATGTTTTGTGGTCCGTGATTCCTTGCTCTCCTACAGTAGCACAGATGCAGGTGAAGACTCAGGAGAACTGGACTTCAGTGCTTTACTGAAAAAGAGGTGAGTCTTTAGAGATCTAATTCATCAGATACATCCATTGCCTACTTTAAAAGTTGGGTTTAAAATCTGAGACTGAAAATGCAATATTTTAAGTGAACAATGTAAATCAAAAGTTGCACTGAAATAATTCAGCACTCAAGCTAACATGATTCTGAGCAAGTACATTTAGTTCTTCAGTGGAAGCAATAACACTTAACATTTGTACAGAGGAGTTTACATGCTCAGTATCACAAATTTTTGATTAGTGACCTTTGAATAGTTTAATCAAAGACTTTAGATATATTTAGATGCCTTAAAGTGACTTTGGTTGAATCTAACAAAATCATATGTTTCTTTTTTTTTTTTTGATTGATACCTAAAATTTATTTTGAATCCAAGATTTTTTAAAGTGTTCTCAGCTGTTTGAACTCATATGGTGTGAATGAGTTAATTAAATATCTTTCAAATACTAAAATGTAAGCTTTATTTAGTCATTTTTTTGCATTTGAACTACACAATGATTTTTTACTTCTAAGGCTCATCTATGCATAATTTTTTCCCCGTTTTTCTCCTCTGTGGCTGTTCCACTCCCATGTTCAGAGAGTAAGTGAGTCACACTGATCTGACTGCGTGTGCATGAAGGAATGTTGAGTGTTGTATTGCCGAGTGTGTGTGTGTGATACCTTGATTATTCTCTCTCCTAATCAGCCACTCATTGCCAACTTTAGTCCTTCTAGGTTTTTCCACTCCGCAGACTGCACACCCACTTAGAACTGGATAGACAGAGTCACGTTTGAATTATTTTTAGCAAACTCCTTCATCATTACTCATACACTCCTAATTAATCACATTAATAAACCTAGAACTCTTACGATTCCTACGCCATTTCACATTCTACGCATTCATCCCACATTTACTGACTTTGACACGACAGCATAGCAAATTGGTTATGTCAGTAAACACTGTACGTTCACGCAAATAGTTTCTAACTCTTCGAGTTTAGTAAACACAAAAGGCACATGAAGATAAAACAGTTAAATAAGGAGGAAGTTTCTATAGGCCACAATGACTCTGCATGCTTTAAGTGCCTTTATAAAATATGAATTGTAAAATGGTCTTGATGGTTTAACAATGCATTGCTATATGATCTGAGAACTTGATAATGTGCAATAATCTGCTGTGGTTTGTCTTACCATGCTTGACGCTTGGGTTCTGCCTCTACATAAGCACAGAAGTTTCTTAAAAACTGGCCCACGGTAAGAATTAAAAAAAAAAACATACAGAATAAAAAATCTATTGAATAACATTCATTAACATTTATCCCATTTATTAGCCACGGTAAATTGCATTTCTATACTTTAATAAAAAAAAGTTTGAATGAATAATGTACCTAACCTGCTTAATGCCTGTCATCATTTACTCACCCCTTTGTTGTTCCAAACCTGCACTCTCAGAAAAAAAGGTACAAAAGCTGTCACTGGGGCGGTACCTTTTCAAAAGGTACACTTTTGTACCTTTTAGGTACTAATATGTACACTTTAGGTAATAATATGTACCTTTAAGGTACTAATATGGACTCTTTCGGTACAAATGTGTGTCTTTTGAAAAGGTACTGCCCCAGTGACAGCTTTTGTACCTTTTTTTCTGAGAGAGTGTATGATTTTTCTTCTTCTGTAGAACAAAAAGATATTTGGAAAAATGTTTCAACTGTTTTTATCCATACAGTGAAAGTCAATGGGGTCTATTGCTGTTTTGGACCCCACTGCATTGTATGGATGAAACACATTTTCAATCATCTTCTTTTTTGTAGTAGCCTACAGGTTTGACACAACATCAGGCTGAGTAAATAATGACAGAATTCTCATTTTGGGGGGAACTATTCCTTTAACAAATGTTTAAAAACAATATCAAAACATTGTGAAGTTATAAGATGTTTGGACTTGATTGACCTGTTCTGATCAATGTCTATCCACTGTTGTGGGTCCGCAGAGCTGTTCATGTGAGCACAGAGCCTGAGGTAGACGTATGGGAAATCCTCCAGAAAGCTCCACCATCAGAGTATGAAAAGATTGCCTTCCAGTATGGAATCACAGACCTGCGGGGGATGCTTAAGAGACTCAAAAAAATGAAAAAAGAAGAGAAGAAAAGTGCAGGTTTGTAACCTTGTTGAACTTTGTTAACTGTACAGGCCACATAAGTGACATATATACAGTGCCTTGTGAAAGTATTCATACCCCTTAATTTTTTGTCTTGTTTCTGCTATGTTGCTGCCTTATGTTAAACTGCTTTAAATTACTTGTTTTCACATACACCACAATAACAAAGCAAAAATACACACCGTGACAACTTTATAAAAATTGTATTAAAAATAAAAAAACAAACAATTACATTGCATAAGTATTTCTGGTACACTTGAAATTTAGCTCTGGAGCATTCATATCGCTTGTACGTTACTACACTTCAGGAGTTAACCTGTGGCAAATTCAATTGAATGAGTATGATCTGGGAAGGCACACACCCCTCATCAAAAGGTCTAACAGCTGAAAATGCATATCAAAAAAAAGAAGAAAAAAAGAAGAGTGCACTACTGCCTGTAGAGTGCAGAGACAGGACTCTGTCAAGACACGAATCTGGGAAAGAGTTCAGAAAAAAAATCTACTGCATTAAAGGTTCACAGATGCATGTAGTCTCCGTTATCCTTAATGGAATAAGTTTGGAACAACCAGGACTCTTCCTTGAGCTGGCCTCCTAGCCAAACTGAGCAATCGATGGAGAAAGGTCTTGGTTAGCGTGTTGACGTTGATGGTAACTCTAGTTGAGCTCCATATACTGTATGGAGATGGGAGAAACTTACAGAAGGACAGATAGCACTGCAACACTCCGCCGATCTGGGTTTTATGGCAGTGTGGCAAGACTCAATCCACTCATTTCACACATGAAAACCCACTTGGAATTAGCAAAAACCACCTAAAGGACTCTCTGACTGTGAGAAACAAGATTTTCTGGTCTGATTAACCTGATGAACCTCAGTTCCAAGCATCATGTATGTAGGAAACCAGGCACTGCTCATCACCTGCACAGTAGCATCCCAACAGTAAAGTGTGCTGGTAGCAGCCTGTTTTTCATCAGCAGGGACTGAGGGACTTACCATAGTAGAAGAAAAGCTCTACACAGCAAAATATAGTGATAGCCCTAATGAAAACTTAGTCCAGAGCATTCAGAAACTCAGACTGGGCAGAAGGGTCACCTTTCCAGGACAATGACCCTAAGCACACAGCAACGTGGCTTATGGACAACTCTATGAATGTCCTTGAGTGGCCCAGCCAGAGTCTGGGCTTGAACCCAATCAAATATTTCTGGAGAAACCTGAAAATGCCTATTGGCCCCATCCAACCTGACAGAGCTTGAGAGGTGAGGAGAAGAACGGCAGATTATTGCCAAATGCAGAGGCGCAAAGCTTGTTGCATCATACCCAAAAAGATGTGAGGCTGTAAAGGTGCTTCAGCTACAGTAAGTACTGAGTTAATGGTATGAATCAATTTCTTTTGTTTTTCATTATATAGTGTAGATTGATGTGAAAAAAGGTAATTTAAAGCAGTCTAACATAAGTCAGCAACATAACAAAATGTTTAAAGAAAATGAAGAGGTATGAATACTTTTGCAAGGTACTGTAAGTCATTTACTAATTTGACTGTTAGCGATAGGTCAAGTTGCAATGATGATGGTGAGATATATTAAGTGGATTAGAACAAAGTATACTTTCTTACTCCCAGCAGTTTTGTTGCTTCAAAACGGATCTGTTCAATAAAAAACCTCAAACGTTTTTAACATGCTCATGTGCAGCACATTTGTTTCTAATAGTGGTGACTTAGCTTTTCATCTTTATTTTAACCACAGCATTTCTGAGGAAGCTGGACCCAGCCTACCAAGTCGAAAAGGGACACAAGATCAAACTGCAAATTGAAGTGGCCAATCCAGATGCAGAGGTTAAATGGCTAAAAAATGGACAAGAGATACACCCAACTGGAAGGTATTTACTTAGGTCCTTTCACTGTTAAAAAAACATGTTTGAGTCGCATGCATTCTCAAAATAGTAAGTATATGGAAAGGATTACAATTAACTCTCTATTTTTTTGACGTCTGGCAACACTGTGTGCTTATGGATGGATGGTGTGCTCTTCCTGCTCTCCGCTGTCAACCCTAGCAAGTGAGTGGCACTCAACAATATGCTTATGACAATATGTAGCCTAAACATAATCAGCAACTTCAAGGCTTGTCTCTGTGGGGTTAGATGTCTCAAACCGCCTGTTGACTATGAATATGCAGGGACAGTTTTCCAAGAATACATAGCAGCTCTGTAAACTCAGATGTCAGCTGTGCCAATGGATGGAGGCTGTCAGATGTTTAAGGACTCAAATAACAATAGAACAAAAACTATCCTCAATGGCTAATAATATTTTTCAGTGACCTTAGTTAAAAAAAAACCTTTTATAAAAATACATCTTGTGAACTGAAGATTTTTTTAAATCGAGTCTTGTCATATGTTTACAATTGTCTATTATTTACATTATATTGTCATCATATCAAGGTTTTTCACGTTAAACAAGTGTTTCGTTCATTTTCTGACATGTATTGTTAATGTATGTTTGGAAGAGAATCTCCAACAGTGATGCTTTGTCCCCATCTAGAGAACAAACCTGGATCTGCTACTAAACAATTTCTCATCTTCCCACAGGTACATCTTTGAGAGTGTAGGCAACAAACGCTTCCTCACTATCAACAACTGCACTCTGGCAGATGATGCTGCTTATACGTGCATGATTGGAGATGAGAAGACCGTCACTGAGCTCTTTGTTAAAGGTAATTAACTTGCGGACAGGAATCTCTAAGAAAAGACTAAATGTTATAGACCAGTAAATATTTGATATTATTTTAAATATTTTTTAGCTATATTATTTATGCATTTTTGTTTTTTATTGCTCTCTGCCTTCAGAGCCTCCTGTTCTGATCGTACGTAACCTAGAGGATCAGATGGTTATGAAGGGAGAACGAGTAGAGTTTGAGTGTGAAGTGTCTGAAGAGGGGGCTCAAGTCAAATGGTAGATCTGTCAACATGCACACACTTCCTTTTCCCTTCCGTTAGTAGTGACAAATGTGCATCCATAATGAGCATGAAAAGCTTATATCTGTACTAGCCTGCAGTACACCAAAGATATCAAACAACACAAGAGAAGAGTTTAGAAAAGGTGACCATTTCTCAAGCTGTCCTGGATGAGTCAGAGTCCTGGCATTCCACAGAAGTCCAGTAGATGGCATATGTGTTTCTTTTAGCATGGCTGGCTGGCTGGTTGGGTGAGTCACACTGACTGACAGATGGTGGTGTGTGAGTGAGTGCTGGTTCTGCCATAGCTGTAGCCAAGGCTCTATATCACCCTGGGCTGTAAATGATCAGTGCCTGGAAAAGGTCATAGCAACCTTTTAGCACCTCACAAGTGTCCTAGAATGGAATGAGAAAGTCATTGGCGGTTTATGGCACCTCTCTTGAATAGTGGATGACTTTCATGATTAGAGAAAGGCAAAAGTAGATACTGTTCCTAGTACTGGAATGCCACAATGTAGGACTTTAATATTACAAGTGTAAAGGGGTAATAATGTGGTTTTGTGTCTTTAATCTAAACTGATTAGAATGAACCGGCATCTGATGTAGAGTTGCATCGCTTGGGGGTCGGTGTAAAAGCTTATGTAAGCAATGAGAAAAGATTAGCAGCTATCAACTTAATATAAATCGTTAGTCCTTTACTATGTCAGCCATTTGATTTATTCCAATTGCTCCCACTAACACGCTGTAATGCTCATAAATCAAGCTTTACATTTTAGAGGTTGTTACTATTGAGTACTGTTATTGAGTATTGTTGAGTGCCATATTACTGTTAGCACATAAAGTAGTCATTCAAACTTCACCTCTCATCAGTTTAGAAAACATGGCCACCAACACTTTTGTACAAGGTTAACATTCACAATGCCAACATGCCAGCTATTGTTAGACCGCCTGACCCATATATTTTAACAGGGCAGGTGACTCTGTCTGTTCCTCCCTCACTCTCTCTTTCTGTCATTGGCACACACTGCTCCATCCCTCTCTTTTAATAGCATCTAAGAAAGATTTATGACTCATTCCCTTTCTCTCCCATTTCTTTTTATTGTTTGCTTCTGTCTCTTTCTCACCGTCTCTACTCCCTCTGTCTCCTATTCTGAGTCTTGAAGCATGTATAGCACTTTACAAGCAAACTGATACCCAGGTATGTCTGCTACCAGTTTGTCTGGGCTTTTGATCAAGTACAAGAGGTGCCAAGAAAAAAAAAAGCTGCTCAGTAATACTGTAACTCTACCAGCCCATCAGTGGGATTGTTACCTTTCTTTACCCCACCTCTCTTTATTATCTTAAAGGGATAGTTCACCCAAACATGAATCTGTTACTCACCTGCATGTTGCTGCAGAACCATATGATTTCTTTCTTCCGTAAACCACAACAGGCAGGATGTTAATGCAAATGGTGACCAGGGTTGTCAAGCTCTAAAAATAAAATAAAAAATGCATTTTTTTTTTTATTAACATTTTATAAATTTTTAACTTGCCTAAATCCGTTACAAAAATGGCACAGTATCAGATGTCAATACTATGGGTACAGAACATTTACTAGGTATATTCACAAACTATAGTGTTTACATGTTACATCAAGGTACTTCAAAGGTTTTCCATGTTACTATGATGTTACATCTAAAAACATGTTAGTTCCAAGTTGCGCTTTAGTTAGTAGTGATAACATATGCTAGAATAGCTTTTGTGGTGTAATGTGGTAAGCATCCATAATTAGTTTTGGTCATGTGTGATAACTGTGTTCTCTTTGACCTCTGACCTTTAGAGAAACAGCTAGAGGTCTATCAAAACATTGCTGACCTGACGGTGAAGGCCAAAGACCAGGCTGTGTTCAAATGTGAAGTTTCTGATGAGAATGTGAAAGGCATCTGGTACAAAAATGGAGTGGAGGTGAAACCTGATGCCAGAACTCATATCACACACATTGGCAGGTAAGTGCATGTGTGTTACTAAATATTAAGTTGGAGATTTCCTCATGTCTATAAGTAAAAGTCTCAAATGAAGGTTCATTCTTCAAATTTAGGTAAAAAAAAAAAAAACATGGTTTAGCTAAACCATGCGTGTTTAGATTTAGCTAAACTAAATGGTAGCTATACAAGTAACTCAACCTGCAAAAACACTGCACACTGCCAAAAGCAAAAGCAGCTCTAAAAGAGGTATAAAATGTAAAGTATAATAAAACATGGTATTCATAATGAAATATTAGTAAAATAACATTTAAATAATAAAATATAAATAAAAACAGTGTTAGTGTCTTAAAAAGTAAACTACACCATCGTAGTCATGTGGCATTTTTATGGTACCGCTCAAGTATTGTGCTTACTTAAATCCCAAAAACATGTCTAAAATGTCATAGTCCATTGTAACTTCATGGTAATTTTAGTTTTTTAGGCATTTTTGGAATTTCTTGACCTGTACCTTCACCCAGCGTTCTTTTTGTTCCCTCTGCTCTGTTGTAAAAGTTGTAAAAGAAACGCTAGTTACGTATGTAACTGTGGTTCTGTGAATTCCAGATGGCCACCAGAGGCAGTGCTAAGCACTAGTAGATAATCGCTGCATCAGCTAGATAGGCCGAGAAAAAATAACAACAAAGTCACGTCATGACGTAGACCGAGATGCGAGGATATAAACCACAGCAGCTCGATGCCCAGCCTCGGAATGCTTTCTCGCGCATTCTGAATGATGAGGAACTCTGGCGGTCATCCGGGATTCACAGAACCACAGTTACATACGTAACAACTAGCGTTCTGTTTCATTCCTCCTGACCGCCAGAGGCGGTGCTAAGCACTAGTGGATGACACATACCAACACAGTCATGAGGAATGCCACCCACCTGCAAACATCAAGGATCTTCCAGAAGGACTGCAGAACTCACATCATGGGAAGCAGCCACGTTTACCTTGTAGAACCGTGCAAAGGTACATGGAGAGGACCAGGTAGCAGCTGCACAGACTCCCCCCAAGGAAATGCCCCGTAAGGCAGCCCAAGATGAAGAGACAGCCCTAGTAGAGTGACAAGTAACACCCACTGATAAAGGCTGGTTAGAATTACTATATGCTAGCTTTATCACCTCAACAATCCAACGTGATAATCTTTGCTTAGACAAGGGGGCACCCTTGTGTACCTCACCATAAGAGACAAATAACTGATCTGTCTGTCTAAAAGGAGCAGTAGACTTAACATAGCACCTCAAAGCTCTTACAGGACAGAGAAGATGAGACCTCCCCCCGCCTGCATCGGAAGGAGAAAGAGGAGGTTGAAAAGCAGTCAAATTAATAGACTGATTCACAAATTGTGGCGACAAGACCTTAGACCCCAGAATCCTCTGGTAACCAGTGTAAGCACGGTACACTCACTGACAGGGCATGAAGCTCGCAAACGCGTTTAGCAGAAGCAATGGCTAACAGGAAAGATACCTTTAAGGACAACCATTTAATATCCACAACATCCAATGGTTCAAATTGCGGTGTGCAAAGAAACTCTAGAACAAGTGGCAAGTCCCAAACAGGAAAGGGAGTAGAACGAACAGGCTTTATACGTCTTGCTCCCTTCAGAAAACTACATACAAGGTTGTGAGACCCCAAGGATGCACCATCAACCGGGGCATGATAAGTAGATATGGCAGCAACATAAACCTTTAAGGTAAAAGCCACCTTGTTGTCATCTAAAAGATGCTGCAAAAAAACTCAATACTTTCGGCACAGTACAATGAACTGGGTCAAGTCCTTGATCCCCACACCAACAAGAAAAATCCTCCACCGAGCAGCATAAAGCTGGCGTGTTGAAGGAGCCCTAGCGTTACCAGTAGTGTTCAGTACTGCTGGCTCACAATCAGTTAACTGAGAAGTGGACCCACTAGCCAAACCCAAAGCTGAAGACGAGCTGGATCTGGGTGCCAAACACGGCCGTTCAGCTGAGATAGCAGGTCCCGTCTAATGGGAAGCTGCCATGGTTCGTCCTATAACAGACTCAGAAGAAGAGCAAACCATGGTCTGGCTGGCCAACGAGGTGCCACTAAAAGCACCCTGTGTTTGGACAGGAATATTCGATGTAGGGTCTCCCATAGAAGTGGAAAAGGAGGGAACGCGTACAATAGGCAGTTCGGCCACTCGTGAGCTAAAGCATCCTGTCCCAATGGGCTGGATGTCTTGGTCCTCGCAAACCACCAACGGCAATGTGTGGTTAGCTCCGAGGCAAATAGATCGACCTCTGCCTTGCCGAACTGTTGCCAAATCAGCTGCACTACATCCGGGTGAAGCCTCCATTCACCTGGAAGCAGTAGATCTCTGGACAGAGCAACTACCACTTGATTGTCCGATCCTGGGAGATACACTGCCTTTAATGAAGCCAGTCGGCCCTGAGACCATCTGAGGATTTTGCGGTTAGCTGTAAAGATGCAAGAGACCAGGGTGCCGCCCTGGTGATTCAAACGAAAGACTGTCGACGTGTTGTCAGACCGGACAAGCACATGCGGCCTAACAGATCTGGTAGGAAGTGTTGTAGTTCTAGATACACTGCCTTCAGTTCTAGAACGCTGATATGTTATAAGGCCTCCTTTGCTGACCAGTGACCACCAATCCCCCTCTGGTTCCATGTTGCCCCCCATCCTGTTAGCGAAGCATCGGTTGTGATCACTTCTCGATGAGAAGGCACCACCCCTAGTGGCACTCCAGCCCTCAGAAATGTTTCCCGTTTCCAGGGTTTCAGTGCTCGGACACAAGCAGGAGAGACAACAATCATGTGATAATGATGTCTCGTTGAGTTTAGCCCTAGGCTGTTGCTCCACCTCTGAAGGGGCCTGAGGTGTAGCAACCCTAAGGGAATCACAGCTGTGGCAGCAGCCAACATCCCCATTAGTTGTAGAAGGACACCATAAGTTATCCTTGCTCCCAGGCGGAAACGAGTCAGTAACTGAAAAATACTGTCTGTCCGAGTGTGAGACAGTGTAGCAGACACTGTGACAGAACTGAGCGTTATTCCTATGAAGGTTATGGTGTGCTCTGGAACCAAATTACTTTTTGTGTCATTCACAGTAAGGCTCAGATTCTGTATGTGCTCCAGAACAATCTTGGTGTCGCGTAGAGCAGTGTTTCCCAACCGGGTGCCGTCTGTCGAGAGCAGGGGTGCCGTGTAAAAAAATCATTTTTTAATATTTTTAAATTGCTAAAATGTTCAAAAAAGCATCTATTATATAATATCCATTTCTGATATATTAGATATATTATTCCAATAATTAGAGATGCACTGAAATTTCGGCTGCCGAAAATTAGTTACTGGCGTAGAGCATGCACTCTTGTTGGGGCACAGAGAAGCCAATCGTCAATGCCCTTGGACCAAAGAGGAAACAGGGCCGCACTCATGCATCTCGTAAAAACACGAGGAGCCAGAGATAGCCCGAATGGCAGGACTCTGAACTGATAGACCTGACCCTGAAAGCTGAATCTTAGGAACTTTCTGTGGTGGAGAGCAATGGGAACATGGAAGTAAGCATCCCTCAAATCTACACTCACATAACTGGCTCATTTCATCACAGATCGAACGTCGACTGTGCCCAACATCTGAAAGGGAAGACACTTTAGGAACACATTGAGGCGTCGCAGATCGAAAACTGGACGAAAACCGCCATCCTTTTTTGGAACGAGGAAGTAAGTTGAGTAAAAACCTTCTCTCTGTCTGAGAAGGGGGACTTTCTCTATGGCTCCTTTCAACAACAGCGAACAAATTTCCATGGAAAGGGTCATTAAACTGGTTGAATCTTTGACGACTGTCGGAAGAATTCCTGAAAACCTTGGAGGCCGGCGTTGGAACTGCAGACTGTATCCCTTGTTCAGAGTCGTCAGAACCCAGGGGTCGGATGTTGAATTTCCCAGTAATGTAGGTGTTGTACAGTGAAACGCCGACTGCCGGCCCAGGAACTTCAGGGTTTCGGGTTTCTGCCTGTGTGTGTCGGGGGGAGGGGGGGGGGCCCTCCTTGATGGTGGCGGGGAAAAGGGCAGCGCGACTGAGTCTCTTCAGCCACTCTATGTCACTGTGGCATTTGAAGTTGTGGACCGCTGTGGTGATGCAACCGCTGCTCTGAGCTTGAGTAGCGTGGGTGAGCCGGTGTCAATGGCATCCTAAAAGAAGGAGCCCGTGGGGCCTGAGTTAACTGTCGTGTGGCCTCTGATAACTTCATTCTCTTTTCTAATAGTTCAGAAATGTTGGGGCCAAAGAGATGCCCCGGTACAATTGATAGTTCCCTCAATGTCTTACAATCTTCAGGCAACCTTGCCTGAGCAAGCCATACCTGGCGTTGTGCTGTTAGAAGGGTCGCCGACAGTGTCCCAAGTTCACGCGTCACATGACCTATAGTCAACAGGGCAGTCTGTAAGAACTGAGGTACAGAGGGGTCAACATTCGCTGACTCCAATGTGGTGTTACAGGCAAGCAGTAGTTGGCAAATAGTATTCTCCGCTCGGGTTATGTAGGCTACAGACTCATATGCTTTTTTCAGTAATGTGTCAGTACGACCACATTGCGCACTTGGGCAGCGTACATTGCCTCTAAGTGCTTCATCTGGTGATACCACCAATGCTGCTACCGGCTGTTCAATTTCAGGTGCCCAACCCACCCCAATAGAATCAGCCTCAGCCATTGAGGCAAGAGTGCGGGCTGACTTTGATCTCCTCATAGGCGCATTGGAGCTTGTTAATGCACTGTTAAATTCAGTAACAAAGTCCTTACATGGTGGCATGGTAAACGTACTATCAGCATTTTGACTGAAGAACACATTCAGTTTCAGTCTAAATCGTGAACCCTTTTGATTCATTCTTTGAAAAGAACCTATTCAAAGAATCATTCACTGGTTCTGAATCAAAACAGATGAACAAAACCGAAATGATAAACAAACTTTCGTCAGAAAAGTAGAGTTTGTCGAGTGCTAACGCCAGGTCCCTTCTTAATAAATTAAAAAATACAGAAAATATGGATGTTACAACATCACTTCGCTATTTGTTACAACCGTGCAACACTGCTAAGTTGTTTATATTGTGAAGTTACTTTTTTATTTATATTTAGGATTCATAAACTGACCATTGATGAGGTAAAGCCAGAGGATGAGGGTGACTACACCTTCGTTCCTGAGGGCTATGCCTTCAATCTCTCTGCCAAGCTCAACTTTTTAGGTACATCCTTTTAATTATTACTGAAGAATGTGAGTTTAAACTGCTCTTTAAAAAAACAAATGAATAAAAATCTGTGCCATTGTTTTTGAAATTATTGTGTTTTATCTTTACAGAGGTCAAGATTGACTTTGTTCCTCGCCAAGGTAAAAAATAAAAACAGCATTAATATAATTTATAATCATGATGTGTTTCTGGTAACTACATTAAACCATAAATATTGAAATGAAAGAAAGTAACCCTTTTTTTGGAACACTTAATTTTTAGAAATGTGTCAAAAATTTTTTTAAAGATCCTCCCAAGATTCATCTGGACTGCATGGGCCGCACCGCTGAGTCCACAATCTTGGTTGTGGCTGGAAACAAACTGCGACTAGATGTACCAATTACTGGAGATCCTGCCCCCACTGTGGTTTGGACAAAAGGAGAAAAGGTAGGAGCGATTCATAAAATTTTGTCTGGTATCGATTTCTAACAATCCCTGTCTGAGCGAATAGGTCTGAGCTGTGTTTCCCAAAAGCATTGTAAGCCTAAGTAGATTGTAGAAACCATTGGCAGTAATGATCTGTAAGATCTGCTTGAAAAATGCAGCCCTGTCAGCCCTGTTTTCGTTTAGAATGTTATTTAGTTAGAAAATCATTTTTTGAGGACAAATTATGTTTTTGAATTCACCTGCAGTTTGTGGTATGCTTTATATGTGTACTGTAATTCTTTACGATTTGCCATGTTGTCCTACAAATGTAACAGGAGATCCATCATCTGGGCTTCAGAAGCCTTGAAAGGTAGGTACTGTAACATCTCCCAGCCATAACCAGAAAGTCTTGTCGAGACTCACTGGGACTGGGAGTTTTGTGCTGAGATGGAAGGTTGACAGTTCAATTTCTCACACTTAACCTCTGACATGGTTGCCATGGCTTCACAGCTTCTGCTCTGCTCATGTAGGGTAGCTTTAAGGAGGGAGAGTCGCGACCTGAACCAAGGCATACATGGACAGTGAAGAACGGTGAAGTGAGTTTGGGCCTTAACAATCCCCGACTGCTTGTACACTGCACATAATCATGTGTCTTGTATGCTTCTTGCTTTGGCTGTGATGTTATTGACATATGTTGCAGTCTTGATCAATTTATCCAGGGGCATACTCCATATATATATGTATATATATATATATATATATTAAGTATTTCTTTTTTTATATATATATAGTTTAGTGATTGAAATTGTTAAAATTTGATAAAGCATCTTTTTTCTTCTCCACTTTAGCTATGGTTTGTCTTTTTCTGGGTAAAAAGGAAACAAGCTGCTATAACATTAACACAAGCATCACTTTGACACACAAATCATCATACTTTTGGGATCTTGACAGTTATGAAGCAAGTTTTTTCACACACACCACACACAACTCTGTAGAATACTGTGTCTACAAGGTGAGTGAATCTTTTATTGTCTAAAGTTCGTAAAGTATAAAGTTTGAAAATAAAAGGTAAGCACCATCCATTCATGGGGGTATTTAACAGGTAACGTATATTATCTGATAATTCAGATATTTGTGGTATCTATGGGTGTTTTGGCATTTTGGCAAGTTTTATATTAGATCTTCCTCTGTGATCTATTCCTGATTGCCTGAATTCAGAGTTGAATTTGAAGGCCTGTGATCGATCCAGATTGATTTTTAACATTTTTAACAAGTGGTTTTGATTGGTTGTTCAGGTGCTGACAGACTCAGATGGGCGTGTCCATGTGGAGAGTACCAAAGGCCATTGTATCTTTACCATTGAGGGGGCGGAGCGTCAGGATGAGGGCGTGTACTCTGTCATTGTACGCAATCCTGCTGGAGAGGATACAGCTGACATTAATGTCAAAGTTGTTGGTAAGCTTCTTTAAACCACATTACGATGGGTACGTTTCACAGCTGTTCTCTGGGAGGCTGAAGTTAGGCCCTGATTTCATTATGGGCTATGTTGCAGTACTCTTTTGTACACTTCAGAACTGTACACTTCACTTCAGAACTGCACTAAAATATAATGCATCAAAAGGCCACAAACGAAACTGTCCACATCTTTTTCTGTCTGTTTATTATTATTATGTATTGCCTTCAGGAGGTTTGCAGTATTCAAATGTATAGAACAGAGCTGCCATTTGAGAGCAAAATGCCTTTAATGTAGCTGCATATTAGCTGTACAGAAGGAATGGCGTGACTAAGCTTTTGATGTTTTACAGATGTGCCAGACCCACCTGAAGCTCCCAGAATCCTTAGTGTCGGTGAAGATTCATGCATTGTTCAATGGGACCCCCCACTCTTTGATGGTGGCCAGCCAGTCATAGGTGACTTAATAATAATAGTTCACAGTATTACTACAGAGCTATATATAGCTTTACTATAAGTAGTTCATATTCTATTAAGTAAATCTTGTTGACATCACGTTCCCAAAAACTATAAATACATTTTACTCAACCACTAACTTAACACAAACTTCATCAGACTTGAAGTTAAGTGAAGTAGCCTACATATTATGAAAAAACAACCTAATGAAAAATGACCTATAATATTGCTGAAAATCCCCTTTTAAATGTGCACTGAAGAGGAAATGCATGATTATAACAATGTGCTCTTAATGTCTTTTAGGGTACGTTCTTGAAAGGAAGAAGAAAAAGAGCTATAGATGGATGAGACTCAATTTTGATCCTTATAAAGAGACCACATATGAAGCCAAGAGAATGATTGAGGGTGTAGCCTACGAAATGCGTGTTTACGCAGTAAACACCATCGGCATGTCACGCCCCAGTGCTGCCTCCCAACCATTTGTGCCAGTTGGTGAGTTCCATTGCTTTGATTTATAACTTTGCTTACATATTAGGAACTTGTTTGTTTCCCCTGCATTTCTTTAAGCCTCTGTTGCAGATATTTAATTTTAATATGTAGTGGCTAATCAGGAGGATGGCATATGCTGAATGCCAGTTTTATGGATTCCATCCACTGCTTTCATTATGATACATTGTGATTCAATATTGCTATTTTTGGAAAGATCCAAGATCTGCTTGTCAAGTAAAGGGATACTTTAACAAAACGAAACAAAACAAAACAAAAATAACATCATTCTTTAATCACCCCTCACGTCGTTCTTCTGTGGTATCCAGTTTCAGTTCCCATTGCATTCCATTTTATTTTTTGGCCATACAATGCGAATCAATGGGAACTGAAACAGTTAGGTTACCAACATTCTACAAAATATCTTCTTTAATGTTCTACAGAAGAATGTAAGTCAATGTCATGAACGTCATGAGGGTGAGTAAATGATGGCAGAATTTTCACTTTTGGATGAACTGTCCCATAAGGGCTACTGTTTCTCTCCAGAGACATAGAGCTATTTAGCCACATCTTTTCATATAAGTGGTGCAATTAATAGGTTGTGTTATTTTAAAGTGGTCTGAAAAGGTCCTTTTCAGTTCAAACAATAGACATGTTAATGATGCATTCATTTTTTGCTCATCTTTAACAATCTTATGGTGAGCTGCATTAAAAGCATTGCTATCTGTGTAGACTGTTGTCTGTTACAAGACAGCTGATTAGGAAACTATCCATGGCATCCTTCTCTATAAATAATGGCATGTTAGCACTTTGCAAAGCTGTATCTACTGCATTGTCAAAAGAGAGGAGGGGGCAGGACAGTGCACTTCCTTTGTTTCTTGCCTGTCACCGTTACTGTGCCCAGAGAAGACCACAGCAGGTGTTACAGAACGGACAGACACTTTTCAGGAAGCTCTACTTGTAAAACTCACCAGACTGAAGTGATCCAGAGACAGAATGACCAAACCGATGCTCCCCAAGACTGCTGAGAAGAAGCCAGCTGAGGCACCGCCGGCTGAAGCACCACCGGCCGAGCCAGTGCCCGATGTCCCAGCAGAAACCAAAGAGCCAGAGCCAGAAGCACCACCTCCACAAGAACCTGCACAAGAGGCCAGTGCTGAAGCTCCTGCACCTCCAGCTGAGGAGGCAACTCCTGCTGCTCCTGAAGATGGAGCTTCTCCAGCAGAAGCAGCACCACCGGGAGAGGAAGGGGCACCATCTGCAGAAGCACCTCCAGAGGAAACTGCTCCCCCACCAGAGCCGGAACCAGAGCCTAAACCTGTTGGCAGTAGGCATCTATTTCTAACTATCTTTTGTGGAGATTATTAATCTCCAGGGATTATTCCACTCTCCGTGACATCTTTATATATCTTTTTACGGCTGTCTTGATGCATCATTGTCATTAACTTATTTCAAGAATACGGCATAGAGTAGCATTAAAACCTAAACCAGTTGTATAATGCCTGTCCACATGGGTATTGGATTGTAAGCTTGTGTAATGATATGCTGTTGAGATAGTAGTCTCAATTGAAACAAGTAGAGGCTTGGGCCCGGAAACAGTATTACTTACGTCATGACTTAACAAGCAGATTGTGTGAACGGTTGCATTCAAAGATATGGTTACATTAGTGAAATGTTCGGGCAAAAAATGTTAATTGTCAGTAGAGTAGCAATGTATAAAGCACATTTCATAATGAAGTCACTTGTGGTGTTCTTCTAGTTGTATCAAGTTGCACCTTGAACCCGATGCAAAATCCACATGGGCAAATCTTTCACTCTCATTCCCAATTGCAAATTCCTGTTGAAATGACTAGGCCTAGATTTTACAATGAAAATTTGCAGAAGGATGGTAAATGTGAATGCACCTTAAGGCCTGAATAAGCATACCAAAGCAAAGCCTGATCATTTCGCTCTGTTTATTTCTATTGACCTCATATTTAGAGTGGTTGTTTGCATGTCAATGACTTGAATCATTTTTCCACTCTAGATAACTATTGACTAGATATGAATAGATGTTCTTGGATTTGCTGCAAGTTCACAGTCTTCATAAATACACAGCTTGACCTGAGCATGTCATTGGCGCTTAAATATGGCACAAACATTTTAGACTGGAGCTTGCTTACAAATCACAGCAGACAGCATGTATATCTTCAGGAGGCCCATATCACCACTACCCTAAGTTAAACTCAGACTCATTCAAGCAATGTTGGTTATTCTTGTCAGTAATGGAAGGCTATCTGTGAAGGTAGTCTCAAAGGTAAGTGGAGATGAACGTCACACAATTGAGGTTGCGTCCATAGTTTCCATGGCTGCTTAGTTTAGTGACAACGCTATGCTCTTCTCACATTCTTTAGTGGAACTTTACTGGAGACCACAGTGACAAGACCAAGTAAATCCAGCTATGTATTAAAAGTCTCCAGTACTATCTCTGTCTTTGATGGCTTAGTAACAGTATATAAGTGTAATACAGCTAATGTTGCACTCAAAATACATCATACACACAAGGGTTTTCCTTGCTGTCAGTTGACAAAGCTAATCCTTAGTACATCATCATTTCAGAGCTAGGTGCAAAAATCCTAACCAATTTATTGGCTAAAGTGATAATGGAAAGACAAATAAGAGTGTCAGATGGTACATGATTGATTTACTCCAGCTGCCAGTACAAAGGAAATGGTACTTGGCCAAACCTTTATACAAGAACATAGTTTCTTTTGACTGAAACACATACTCATTTGTATCAACTTCCTGTCCACAGCTCCGACCAGCGAGCCCACTGGCCTGTGTGTGGATGACATCAGCGATACCACCATCTCTCTGAAATGGAGGGCTCCAGAGAGGATAGGCTCAGCTGAACTCGAAGGCTATGGGGTTGAGTACTGCAAAGAAGGCTGTAAGTATGGGATGGATTAAAGATTTATATGTTTGACAGAATTTCTTTAAATGTGTTTATAATGAGAATACACCAGTTTTAAAAAAGTTTGGTGTCAGTAGATTTTTAAATATATTTTGTCTCTTATTTTCACCAAGGCTGCATTTATCAAAAATCTGAAATATGGTGAAATATTGATACAATTTAAAATAACTGTTTTCTATTAAAACAAAAACATTCCTGGGATGGCAAAGCTGAATTTTCAGCAGCCATTACTACAGTCTTCAGTTTCACTGAAGAAATGATCCTTCAGAAATCATTCTGTATGCTGATTTGGTGCTCAAGAAACATTTTTTCATAATTCTTTGATGAAAATAAAGTTCACAATGTAATTTTTTTGATCAATTTAAAGCATCCTTGTTGAATAAAAGTATAAGTTTCCTTAAAAAAAGTCGCATTGACCCCAACCTTTTTGAGCGGTAGTATAGCTTCATAAATTCAGGTGTAAAACATATAATTTTTTTTAACTGCATCAGAGTACTATTCAGAATAAATTCTCAATGCTCTGTGTTTGAAACCTTTATTTCATCTCTGTAGCTGATGAATGGATTCCTGCATTTTCGGGTCTCACAGAAAGAACCACTGTGATCGTCCATGACCTGCCAACTGGAGAGAAGATGCAGTTCCGCGTGAGGGCTTATAACATGGCAGGCCCAAGCCTTCCTGCCACATTGCAACAAGCAGTCACCATCCGTGAAATCATGCGTGAGTTACACAGAGAATGATCTTAAAATGTTTTGATAGCCTATTTAAGGTCAACATTTTAGAGTGATGGGGTTTTGCACAATGTGGACTGCTAGAGGTTCAAATATATCAGCTTTTTGTCTTCTAGATTGTGTTTAGAGACACTATATGTTAATGCCTCTTGCTACAGATGAGTCTACCTGATAATAGAATGAAACTAAGCTTATAAATGCTAATGTTCAGGCAAATGAGCTTTATTTTTAAGTGAAGATCCATCTATTGCATCGCATTACAGTTCACTGTTGGGAAGGAAATTAGATAGAAAATTAGACACGGCCACCATGTGAATCACTTGCATTCTGTTATTGCAGAGCGACCCAAAATCTGGCTCCCCCGTAACCTCCGCCAGACACTCATCAAGAAAGTAGGAGAAATGATTAACCTGGTAATCCCCTTCCAGGTGAGAAAAGTCATCCTTAAGATTGGGTTTGAAACGTGCACATCCCTAACAAAATTATGCTGCGGAATATGTGACTAATCCATTCAAACAATTTAGATTTGCATGAAAAGATCCGGCAAAGTTCTGTATTGCTGTATCCAGCAGTATTATTTGTCGCAATATGAAACCATTGGCTGTCCTCCTTTGATGCAGACTTTGACCTCCAACAGCTAGAGCTTCAGTGTTTGGCTAGAGTGTAACTTCTCCACTTGTTTGTTTACAGAACCCAGTTTGTGAAACACAGATCTTCATCCTCTCACTCTATAAATACTCTGAGCTCTATGACTGAAATTCAATGAGAGAGGCTGCATACAGTTGGTAGTCAATGACACAAGTCTGAATGGCATCTGTAACACTCCTGTAGTGCCCAAAAACATCTATCTATCTATCTATCTATCTATCTATCTAGCTAGCTGTCTGTCTGTCTGTCTGTCTGTCTGTCTATCTGACTGTCTGTCTGTCTGTCTGTCTGTCCCATATGTTAATGCCTCTTGCTACAGATGAGTCTACCTGATAATAGAATGAAACTAAGCTTATAAATGCTAATGTTCAGGCAAATGAGCTTTATTTTTAAGTGAAGATCCATCTATTGCATCGCATTACGGTTCACTGTTGGGAAGGAAATGAGATAGAAAATTAGACACGGCCACCATGTGAATCACTTGCATTCTGTTATTGCAGAGCGACCCAAAATCTGGCTCCCCCGTAACCTCCGCCAGACACTCATCAAGAAAGTAGGAGAAATGATTAACCTGGTAATCCCCTTCCAGGTGAGAAAAGTCATCCTTAAGATTGAGTTTGAAACGTGCACATCCCTAACAAAATTATGCTGCGGAACATGTGACTAATCCATTCAAACAATTTAGATTTGCATGAAAAGATCCGGCAAAGTTCTGTATTGCTGTATCCAGCAGTATTATTTGTCGCAATATGAAACCATTGGCTGTCCTCCTTTGATGCAGACTTTGACCTCCAACAGCTAGAGCTTCAGTGTTTGGCTAGAGTGTAACTTCTCCACTTGTTTGTTTACAGAACCCAGTTTGTGAAACATAGATATACATCCTCTCACTCTATAAATACTCTGAGCTCTATGTGAAATTCAATGAGAGAGGCTGCATACAGATGGTAGTCAATGGCACAAGTCTGAATGGCATCTGTAACACTCCTGTAGTGCCCAAAAACATCTATTTATCTATCTATCTATCTATCTATCCACTTATAAAAGTACTTTTTCTTTGTTTCCTGTTAGTAATATAGTTAGTGAACAATGAGATGTCTTGACTCGTTCTTCACCCACCTAACTTTTAAGGGTAAACCACGACCTCAAGTGACCTGGACAAAGAACGACGAGCCTCTGGACCCTAAGCAGGTCAGCATACGAAACAGCGACACTGATACCATCCTCTTCGTCAGGAGATCTGAGAGAAAGGATTCTGGGAAGTATGAAGTTCAAGTGCAAATTGAGAATGTGGAGGACAGGGCCAGTGTGAATATACAGATTGTTGGTGAGTTACTAGGACCTGTTTGACAGCATACGCTGTAAATTTAACCTGTATTGTCGACTACATTTGACACAATTACACAAGAATAACATTCACAGTTTGGAGTACCAGAATATGTTATCTTATTTACAATACAAGTGTGTCAAAACACACATCAAAACACATTTTGTTCTTTTCTACTGTCAGACCTGCCAGGCCCACCCCAAAATTTAAAGGTGATAGATGTTTGGGGCTTCAACGTTGCCCTGGAGTGGAAACCACCCAAGGATAATGGCAACTGTGACATCACAGGCTACACCATCCAGAAGGCTGATAAGAAAACCATGGTAATCCCAAACTTACAAATTTGTGTTTTTGCTAAAATGGAGAATTGTATTTTATTTTGTTCATTTCCTGTTTCTTTAACAGAGTCATACTGTACATATGTACTTTTAGAGTACATATGTCAAGTACTGTTAGTAATCAAACTCGAATTGAGAGAAAGAGTTAGTGGGTTCGTAAGCCTCCCCGTGCCTGCCATTGTCTATCTAAAGCAGCTAAGCTTGTGATCACTGTAATTGAGTAATGTATGTACACTATTTATCAGTGGCACAGCAGTGCAGAGAGACTATGAGTTTATAGCCTCTCTTGTGACATACAGTTGGCCAGTGGCACTGAATTGTGGGCCAGGGGAACAGCATCCGGAACATCCAGTACCCAAAGCTCCAAAATGACCCTTGAGCAGCTGTGCCCCCTTAGGTGCAAGCATGCTGTAATCTTAGCCCACGGCCTTGCCCTGATTTAAGTGCTGTCATTATAGTGCTCTCTTTACCCCTTTGTACTCTTGAGCCACTAAGGTTAGCGGCTAAATAAAAAGCACCCGGTTTGGGTTTCACCTCACATTGTTACTAGAGCTAGTCTATTCCTCTCCCTGTGTCCAGAGCAGCAGGCAGGAAGACACCGGATTATCAGGTTTCACAGGACAATCTCAATCAGAAATCGGAGATGGTCTGCTGCTAAATATAAAAGCACTTTAGGCTGCAGGCTTTGGGGCACATTCATGGGCAGGCCATTTACCTGCTTCAACATCTACTGCTCCCACGAACATACTGTAGTAATGACACTTTGGCTTAATATATGCGCTAAGCGATCCTGCAGCGTTTTCCGCATTGTCTATAACAATGGACAATGATTTTACAGTGGTATAGACAGAAATCTGAGAACCACACTACAATGTTTTAGATTAGCAAGGATAAGTAGTGACATAGTTCCCACATACTGTTTGCTGTATTATACCCATTTTTATAGTTACACTGGAAAAACGAAGGAAACAAATAAATATTATAACGAATTTAGTGAGGCATGTTTATGCTTAAAAATCTCATGCAATTTTGCCTTTCAGGTAAAATTATTGTTATTTTTTATTTTAGCCACTTATGCTTAACAAAACAGTTATTTCATAAAAAATACAGTAAAACAGTCATAATGTCAAACATTATTTCAATTTAAAAAATTACTCTTTACTATTTTAATATATATTAAAATGTAATTTATTTCTGCGATGGCAACAATGAATTTTCAGCAGCCAGTGCTCCAGTTTTCAGTGTCACATGATCCTTCATTTAATTTCATATTAAATGTTTTTACTTTAAATAGTGATCAATTTAATGCATCCTGCTGAACAAAAATATTAATGTCTTTCTAAACAAAAAGATTACTGAGTCAAAATATTTGAACTGTAGTATGTATATATAAAATATATTATTTTATGGATATTTTAATATTTTTCAGACAACAGCTATGGTTTTGTCAGTTTCAGAGGAGAACAGATACGGCTTTTAATCAGACTAAAATGTGTCTGACAGTGTGGTACACAATATATGACTAGGTGTGTGTGGTTTTTCTCTTCTTTGCAGGAATGGTACAACGTGTACGAGCAGTATCGGCGCACTAACTGTGTGGTCTCAGACCTGATCATGGGGAATGAGTACGTGTTTCGTGTGTATGCCATGAATATGGTGGGTCTGAGTCCAGAGCCTTGCCTCTCCAAAGACAGCGCCTACATCCAGAAAACAGGTGACTGTTTGTGTCCAGATTCTAGATTCTCATGCCTGCTCACTGGTATGCAGTGTAGATAGCAAGAACACTTCTGTAAGTATGAAGTGGTTAGGCTGTTTCATTTAAAGTTTTTCTAATTCCCATGTGGCTCCCCTGATCTCCTGATGTATGTTTTGGTTTTCTTTACAGGCATTGTGTACAAGCCTCCTTCCTACAAAGAGCATGATTTCTCTGAGGCCCCCAAGTTCACACATCCTCTCGTGAGTCGCTCAGTTATTGCTGGATACAATGCTACACTCAGCTGCTCCGTAAGAGGCATCCCAAAGGTGAGCACATGTGACCTCAATTAGCAAAGGTCATGCACTGTACTGTAGGTCCAAATATATGAAACACCAAAACATCAGTCATTTATGCTTGTTCAGCAATTCTAGAGAATAAAAGTCTAAATTGTAAGATAAAAAAGATCACAATTAAAGGGATAGTTCACATAAAAATAAAAATGTTGTTCCAAACCCGTAAGACATTTCGTTCATCTTCAGAACACAATTAAGATATTTTTGATGAAATCCGAGAGCTTTCTGACCCTCCATAGAAAGCAACGGAACTACCGTGTTCAGGGCCCAGAAACGTAGGGCATCATTAAAATAGTCCATGTGACATCAGTGGTTCATCCGTAATTTTATGAAGCTAGGAAACACAGAACACTTTTGTTCATAGCACACAAAAAGTATTCTCGTAGCTTCATAAAATAAGGTTGAACCACTGATGTCACATGTAAAGATGCCCTTACTACGTTTTTGGGCCTTGAACATGAAATTTAATCATGTCCTTACTACCTTTCTGGGCCTTGAATGTGTCAGTTACATTGCTGTCTATGCAGGGTCAGAAAGCTCATGGATTTCATCAAAAAATATCTTAATTTGTGTTCTGAAGATGAACGAAATGTCTTATGGGTTTGGAACGACACGAGGGTAATTAATGACAGAATTTTCATTTTTGGGTGAACTATCCCTTTAAGTAAGCTTCCAAAATATCTTAATTTGTGTTCTGAAGATGAACGAAATGTCTTATGGGTTTGGAACGACACGAGGGTAATTAATGACAGAATTTTCATTTTTGGGTGAACTATCCCTTTAAGTAAGCTTCCACACTTTCCACTATGCTGAGGATTGTAATTGTAGGCTTTTGGTCTCATTCAGACACAAGAGCATCAGCGAGGTCACTGATGGGGTCTGCTTCACAGTCAGCATTACAATTCATCCCAAAGGTCCTCACTTTGTTCATAGGGATATTGTCATGCTGAAACAGAAAAGGTCCAAACAGCTGGCACTTTTAAGAGTTCAGATTAGTCTACTGTTGAGCATTTTTTTGTGCATATTACAAAAAAAAAATCATATCACCCTTCTCATGAAATATTTAATGGCTTAATATATTACAAGCTAGTATCTTAACCCAGATATTAACAGGCTCTGAGGAAAAAAAATAGTATCTATCATATAAATGTTTATGTAAGAAAATTGTCAAGACAGTCCATTTCTAAATCCATCTCAATGTTTTGTGCAGCCTAAAATCACATGGTACAAAAACAAGATGGACATTACAAATGAGGCCAAGTACCGCATGTTCAGCAATCAGGGTGTGCTGACTCTGGAGATCCGTAAGCCGTGTCCATTTGATGGAGGTGTGTACATGTGTAAGGCGGTCAACGACAGCGGAGAAGACGTAGTAGAATGCAAACTGGAAGTTCGCTGTAAGTACATGCCTCTAACTCAAGAGCTACCTAGAAATTTGCATAGTAACAGTTGATGATAAAATTCAGTGTTATATACCGTATACTAAAGACAAAATTTGATTTGTCTATTAATTGCATTTCTGTTCAAAAGTCTGTGGTCAGTGAGATGTTTGTAATGTTTAAATATATATATATATATATATATATACAGTGGAATATATTCTCGCATACAAAATAAAAGTTTTTGTTTACATAATATATGTGTGTGTGCTGTGTATATTTATTATGTATATATAAATATAAAAACACACATGCATGTATATATTTAAGAAAAATATGTTATGTTTATATATTAAATATATTTATATATTACATAAATTATATGAATATAAATATATACATGTAAATACATGTAAATATTTTCAAAATATATGCTGTATATGTGTGTATTTATATATACATAATAAATATAAACAATACACACACATTATGTAAACAAAAACTTTTATTTTGGATGTGATTAATCGCGATTAATCGTTTGACAACACTAATAAATATATATGTATATATATTTTCTTTTTTTTTATGGCAAAGCTTAATTTTCAGCAGCTATTACTCCAGTCTTCAGTATCACATGATCCTCCATAAATCATTCTAAGATGTTGATTTGGTGCTCAAGATACATTTCTTGTTACTATCATTATGTTGAAAACAGTTGTGCTGCTTAAAGGGATGGTTAACCCCAAAATGAACATTCTGTCATCATTTACTCACCCTCAGGTTGTTCCAAACCAGCAGTTTCTTTCTTCTGTTGTACACAAATTGAAGAGATTTTAAAGAATGTTGGTAAGCAAACAGTTGCTGGTCTCCATTTACTTCTATAGCATTTTTTTCTATACTATGAAAGCCAATGGGGACCAGCAACTGTTTGGTTAGCCACAATTTTAAAAATTATTTCTTGTGTTCAACAGAAGAAATAAACTTGACAGGAGTTTTATATTTGGGTCAACCATGCCTTTAAATGTTGCATGAGGGACCATAATCAGTGGAGTCCTATATGAATGAAACTTACCTGAATGACCACTGAATGTTAAGAATTATGTTATGATAAAATGAAAGATATATGCTGAGATATATAGATCAAAATCCATCCATGCTTCTGTCTGTATTAACATTTTATTTTATAACTCTGAAATGAGTAGGAAAAAAGTCTAGAATTACACTTTTACTTCAAACAAAACAAAGAAACATGGATAACGTCTTGGCATAAATCAAAAATGTCATTTTGGTTAATAGCTGTTGGATTTGACCTAGAAGTGTGTCTGAAGTTCCAAAATGGATCTCTATCCAGTGATCCATGATTTCTGCTGTGTGTCACACTTTAATACTTCCTCCTTACTTCCTGTTTCCCTCAACATTCAGCTAAACAGTAAGCTCAGGTTTGCTCTATGTGAAATGTGTCCAAGGTAAGCATGTGTTGTCATCACACCCACACTGCCTGTGCTTTCTCTAACAAAGCACTCCTCTGTCTCAAGTCCAGCATGTCTGGGTGCTTCTCAATACCGAAATCGATCAAACTCTGCCATCATGAAGGACAAATCAATTCTCTAAAAGCACTGTGAGGAGAGGGGAAGCTTTCAGAGGAGCAAGGATGCACAGGTTCACATCCTATGAAGAAGTTTGCAATTTTCAGTCTGTTACTTTTAGTTTAGTTAATACTTTAATTCCTTCTTGCATCTTTCCCTTGTGTCTTGTGAGCTTAGACTCCTGGAAAAGATGTGAGAAAAGGACACAAGGATGGAGAGTTAACAAAAAAATGAGATGCACCCTTGGTCTCTGAGCCACCAGTTTTGCACATAAGTTTAAAGCACTCTACTATTCAAATAATTTGGGGTCAGTGAGATTTTTCATAATTTGAAAGACATCTTTTATACAGTAAAAACAAAACAATTGTGAAATTTTATTATAATTCTATTTTAATAGATTTAAAAATGTAATTTATTCATATGATGGCAAAGCTGAATTTAGCAGCACGTGATCTTTAAGAAATCATTCTTTTATGCTGATTTGGTTCTCAATAAATCTTTTTTATTATTATCAATGTTAAAAACATTTGTCCTGCTTAATATTTTTGTGGTAACATTTTTTTCGATTCTTTAAAGATTTTTTTCTTTTTTAATCTTTACTATCGCTTTTGATCAGTGTAATGCATCCTTGTTGAATAATAATTGTTAAAATATTCATTTCTTAAAGAGAGAAAAAAACTTACTGACCCCAAACTTTTGAATGGTAGTGTCTATCTAAACTATTTCAGCAGGTGCACTAATTCATGTATGATAGGCTATAACATAGGATATTTGGGATTATCCACTTCTATCTAAATGTTTTTTAAAGAATAAATAATTTCAAATGAACATAAAATGTGATATTCATAACTCAAAGTTGCATGACCAAAATTAATAAAATGGGTTTATCCGTTTCAAAGGTGTAGCTTTGAAATGCATGCAGGTTTGTTGTAGGTCACTCAGATGTATAATGAATTATTTTGAACATCACTGAAGGTAACTTTAGATAATTCTACAGTAGTAGCCTTTTTCCCCCTTTGTAAATGCAGGATGCAATCTAATAATGGTTCTTTCACTTCATCGCAGCTCAAGTCACAAAAGAAGACATCAAGAAATGAGAGAGACGTAATGGGTTTGGAGAAACTGTGACACTTGTCCTCTTTCTGTCTTCTGTCCTGAAACTGATCCCATGACATGTCCGTGATCAAATGACAGAGCAAAGAAATCTTTCAGCGGTTTTCTTCATTTGCTTGTGCTCCCCATTTCTCACTCACATCCCACGGTCTGTGCTTAGGTGTGATTTGCTTTTCTTTATTGCTTGTGTTCATTTAGTTTCATTTCATGTTGTATTTAAGATCTATGCTGTAGGGCCTAGTGACTCAGTATTTTCCTTCCACATGTGATGTTATGCAAAACATGCTAAATAAAGCTAAGAGTTTTGTTGATGCTTATTGTCTGGTTTTCATTTAAAGTAATATATAACTCTTTTGCACTCACATTTTAGGGAGTTGGTTTATCCCAACACACAGATAATATTTCCATTCTTTGGTTGCATTTCTCTCCTAATTTCGAGAGATTTCTTAGAACTACGACACGTCAAAATGCGTCACTCATGCAAACGCAATTAACCACCTGAGAAACCACAGTCACACTGAGAGTGGCAGACAGACAGGTGTCTCCTCTAAGTTTCCATACATCACGATGACGCACTCTCTGCAATGGCACGGCTATCACATGCATTCTTTAGGCACTCACGTGGTCCAAAGTATGTCCCAGCATCAACAGGCTGCTGGTATTAATGTAACAAAGCCCATCTGGAAGCGTCAACTCAGTGGTATTATCGGTGAGAGCAGAAAGCATGGCTGGCCTGCATGGCTTTGTTCTGGAATTTTCTCCAGTGGCAATTTGGTGGCAGGTTTGAGAGGGTGAACTGTTTGAAATGAGGCCCAGACATGCCATCATGGCCGAGGTGTCAAAATAACCGTGCATGGCCTGCTCCATGTTAAAATTTAGCAGCTGTGTCTTTGTCCTATTTCTTTCATTGTTCTCACATAAACGTATTGTCCAAAATTTGATAAACCATATGTTTGAATGTGGAAATAAAACATTTAACAGTTTTTAATCCAGAATTTTAAATGCTAATGCAGTCTTAATAAATATTTTTCACTGGAGCCACTGACTGGAAAACAGTCTGAGGAAATGCAGAGGGTGCATTTGAATGACAGATCCATTCATTAATACGGTCAGAAGGCCGATATTTCTTCATTAACACAGTCCAAACTCTCGAAGAGGGATTGTTTTTATGTTATTAATCATTAAGGCTTTCAGTGTCGGTGACGTGCGGCCTCCGTCTTAAAGATGCAACCCCAGACAGACGGAACACAGTCGATGACAACGTTGACAAGAAACTAAATTGGGCTGACAAATCCCTCGAGAGTGTGTTTATTGGTCTGTGACCATGTGCCATTACATTACGACTGGTGTATGTGAATGTCGACATTTTAACCTGTTTCCAGTTACTGAGGGTTTTTGTTTAAGATTGTATCATTTTTTTAAAGGAGTAAATTGCAATTATTTACAGTTTTGATCATTTTACGTATTGAAATAATGCAAAAAGTGACCGAGACCAGCAACCAATTGTAACTGTTGTCCTGCAGCGCCCTCTAGTGTTTAGGTAAATGCGTGCTAGCTTGGCGATGCAAAGGAAACACACACAAAAGATTTGAAACCCACAGTATATTTAAACTCTGTATCCTCAAAACAAATCACTTTGATCAGTCTTTATACATCCACATTAATGTAACACAATACAGCAGGACAGAAATGTCAAATAATACAATAAAACAAGAGTTTCTTAAAAACAGTCCAAACTAGCTGACCAGACACTGAAAGAGCTCCCAGAATGGATGCAAGTTTGGTCTTGTTACCTGAATCACAGGGAGAATGTAGTCAAGGTAAATCAATACAAAGCTTTCTTGGAAAAAAATCTCAAGAGAAAAATCACTTTATCAAAAAGGGGTAAAATATCAAAAGAAATATACAAATAGTTAAATCAGCCCCCTGTGGACAAATCCAAGTATGAATGGGGAGTGAGTAACCTGTTTGAGATGATGATGATGACAGGAAACGGATCATGTCTCATTATTGCTCTTGTGATTCATGATGCTTTCAAAATCATGATGTTGTTGCAAGAACCAACCTGAGCACCTTATACACCACAGAAAGAAAAGAGATCGCTTGATTCTTCTTTTTTGTCAATAACACAAATGATTCCTTCATGCAAGACATCAGACCTCCCTTTTATCTCTCACCCCCAAAACACCTACGTATCTCACAGCTCGGGGTGAGTCACGGGCCTCTATAATTAGACACGTTAAATATTTTATGAGAGACTGAGAAAAATAGACTGTTTTTTTCCCAAGCTTGTCAGACACTGAAAATACCTGCATTTGAGGTTAAAAATACATCAAGCGTGTTGCATTTTATAACGTGAAAATTAGTACAAAGAGAAAGTGCAGTGTGAAACTACTTTTATAACATGAATCTTGACAAAACAGGATTTAAAAAAAAAAAACGTGTCAATTAAATCCTTAAAATTTGGCTGTAACATGAACAAGTAGAGATGAATCTTAACGGGATGTTAAAATTTAGCAGCTGTGTCTTTGTCCTATTTCTTTCATTGTTCTCACATAAACGTATTGTCCAAAATTTGATAAACCATATGTGTTTGAATGTGGAAATAAAACATTTAACAGTTTTTAATCCAGAATTGTAAATGCTAATGCAGTCTTAATAAATATTTTTCACTGGAGCCACTGACTGGAAAACAGTCTGAGGAAATGCAGAGGGTGCATTTGAATGACAGATCCATTCATTAATACGGTCAGCAGGCCGATATTTCTTCATTAACACAGTCCAAACTCTCGAAGAGGGATTGTTTTTATGTTATTAATCATTAAGGCTTTCAGTGTCGGTGACGTGCGGCCTCCGTCTTAAAGATGCAACCCCAGACAGACGGAACACAGTCGATGACAACGTTGACAAGAAACTAAATTGGGCTGACAAATCCCTCGAGAGTGTGTTTATTGGTCTGTGACCATGTGCCATTACATTACGACTGGTGTATGTGAATGTCGACATTTTAACCTGTTTCCAGTTACTGAGGGTTTTTGTTTAAGATTGTATCATTTTTTTAAAGGAGTAAATTGCAATTATTTACAGTTTTGATCATTTTACGTATTGAAATAATGCAAAAAGTGACCGAGACCAGCAACCAATTGTAACTGTTGTCCTGCAGCGCCCTCTAGTGTTTAGGTAAATGCGTGCTAGCTTGGCGATGCAAAGGAAACACACACAAAAGATTTGAAACCCACAGTATATTTAAACTCTGTATCCTCAAAACAAATCACTTTGATCAGTCTTTATACATCCACATTAATGTAACACAATACAGCAGGACAGAAATGTCAAATAATACAATAAAACAAGAGTTTCTTAAAAACAGTCCAAACTAGCTGACCAGACACTGAAAGAGCTCCCAGAATGGATGCAAGTTTGGTCTCGTTACCTGAATCACAGGGAGAATATGGTCTAGATAAATCAATACAAAGCATTCCTGGAAAAAAATCTCAAGAGAAAAATCACTTTATCAAAAAGGGGTAAAATATCAAAAGAAATATACAAATAGTTAAATCAGCCCCCTGTGGACAAATCCAAGTATGAATGGGGAGTGAGTAACCTGTTTGAGATGATGATGATGACAGGAAACGGATCATGTCTCATTATTGCTCGTGATACATGATGCTTTAAAATGTATGATATTGTTTAAAGAACCAACCTGAGCAGTGTATACACCACAGAAAGAAAAGAGATCTTTTGATTCTACTTCTTTTTTTTTCTTTTTCTCATCAATAACACAAATTATTGCTTCATGCAAGACATCAGACCTCTCTTTTATCTCTCACCCCCAAAACACCTACGTATCTCACAGCTTGGGGTGAGTCATGGGCCTCTATAATTAGACACGTTAAATATTTTATGAGAGACTGAGAAAAATAGACTGTTTTTTTCCCAAGCTTGTCAGACACTGAAAATACCTGCATTTGAGGTTAAAAATACATCAAGCGTGTTGCATTTTATAACGTGAAAATTAGTACAAAGAGAAAGTGCAGTGTGAAACTACTTTTATAACATGAATCTTGACAAAACAGGATTAAAAAAAAAAAAACGTGTCAATTAAATCCTTAAAATTTGGCTGTAACATGAACAAGTAGAGATGAATCTTAACGGGACTGCATTTTTAGCCACTAAAGAATCTGGAGAAGACCTGATAAAATCTCAGCTCCAGATCTGCATCTCTTTCCCTGTAGACATTGATATGTATAAATTAATTACTGAGAAATGATTGATCAAAAAAGGAATCTGGAAAAAAAATAGGACAAAATAAATGAAAGAAAATGAAAACGACAGCACCAATTAATAAAAATTTCACTTGAACTTCATTTAGACAGGTCTCATATAATGAATAGTGAATAAGGTCGGTGTTCTTTGACATTCGTTTATGCATTCATTGCTGTTTTGCTAGCATTATGCTCAGCTGCTACCTCATGATATGCTAATATAACCATTTAAGTGAACTGATTCTGAAACATGATGCAGATCGTTGTAATGATCAGTGTGAACTGGGTGTAACATATGGACCCACAGCTGACTGAAATGCAAGTGCCACATTAACATTCAGAAAGCGTTTTGAAACAACAGAAGATAAAAAACAAAATTCCCCCTACGCTTTTAAATTTAGGGGTTTTGCTGTGAGGATTTAAATTAAAATCTTAAATTCTACAAACAAAAATATGGAACACAAGCCTGAATAAGAGCCAGTGACTGCTTCATTGTGTTTCTGTGTGCTTTAAGGGGCATATTTCTATTTATCTAACACTCAAACGGTGCCACAAGCATCTCCTCTGAACTGCTGTTTGGTTGAACAATTCATAAACACTCCATTCACATATTCAATCAAATGCAGACTGTTTAAATGGAGTAATCGGGAGCATATGTAACATGTTCTGTGGCTCTAAAAGACTAAACAAACCCAAATAGTTTAATATTCTTGTTGATACAGGTTGATATTGAACTCAACAGAGCTGATGAGATTTTCACAGCATTTTTCTCTGTGCACACATTCATGAAAGAAAAAATGGTGTCAGTTTGTACTGTAAACATGATGTGAAGAGTCAATCAGTTAGCGATATCGGACGGACATTTTTTGTATAAGAGTATATTTACAGCTGACATATTTGTGTTTGAAACAGCAGGACTGATGGGATGCTTGTGTCAGCGCTCTGCCATTTATCTCTCTGGAGACTCAAAATGAGATTTTAACATTTCTGGTGAACTTTTCCTTTTTCTGTGGGCAAACATAATAAACATCATAAACCTTTCATTCAATGATACACAATGAATCTTACAGTCATTTTGCATTTTAACATGGTGGTAGTGTTCTCTCATTTTGTGCTTGGACCATAAAACACAGCCTACGATGGGATGTAGTGGGGGCTTTTTTGTAAATCTCTTGAGGCACTTTTTTGACATTTTCATTCAGATGACCTCAGGAGTTGAACATTGCAATGGTCCCCTTGCATATCTAACTAATCAACATCCCAAATGACAGTACATTCTTAGTAATGCACCAACAGTGCATGTGTGTGTGTGTGATGTCTACATGACAACATCCAGAGCCAATGTAGTAGTGTTCATGCTATGAGAAAGAAGTGTGTGAAAAGACTGTTAAAAAACTGTTGAGGAGGTGAGGATTTAGAAAATTTTCACAAAAAGGAGTGCCAAACATGTGGCTAATCCCTGACTGGAGAAAGGGGGTGAGCGAGTGTGAACGAGGAAGACAGATGGCAGAAGAATTAAAGACAATGACAGAGAAAGTGAGAGAGAGGGAAGGAGAGATGGGAGGGGTGGAGGGCTCAGGCGAGACGCCCTACTGGGGGTAGTTGTTCTGTTGCCGGCGTTTGGCAGACCTCAACTTCTCAAAGCGCGACTCCATCTCTTCGAGAACCTTAGGGGTGTACCGTACCACCAGCTTCACTGTACCCTGAGCAGCCTTCAACAGCTCCACAGCTTTCTCATGGTGCTCTCCTTCTACACTCTGAAAGACAGAAAAAGTTTACATGCACTTTAAGAGTTTAATTACAGCTGAAAAAAACAATACTTCTTTTTTTACCAACTGAAATCACAAGTCCGGTTTTTGCGATCAGTCCTAGATAATGTGACAGCTTGACTTCATTCAGCATGTACGTATATGCATCAATTAGATTTCAATTTTCTAAGTCTGTAAACATTCTTCTCACATTACAAACTATTCTATTAATCTATTATTAAATAGACTTAAATTAGCCATTTAAATAAAAATTATCATAAAATGTATTATGAAATATTATCAATTATCTGTGCCTGTTAAAGGGATAGTTCACCCCAAAATGAAAATTCTGTCATTAATTACTCACCCTCATGTCGTTCCAGACCCGTAAGACCTTCGTTCATCTTCAGAACACAAATTAATATATTTTTGATGAAATCGAGAGCTTTCTGACCCTGCACAGACAATTCTGTGACACATTCAAGGCCCAGAAAGGTAGCAAGGACTAGGGTTGGGTAAAAAATATTGATTTCTACAAAACGATATAGAATCAATTTGTCTAGCCTGTTTTCAGTTAATGGACCGAACACTGTCGCACCTCCCATCCAATAAATTGCAATAACCTTTGTGCTTTTTTAATTTTGATATGAAACTAAGTCTCAGATTTCAAATTCTTTACATTTTATTACAGTATTCAAACAATAAATGCAGTTTTGGGAACACAAATTAAGATATTTTTGATGAAATCGAGAGCTTTCTGACCCTGCATAGACAATTCTGTGACACATTCAAGGCCCAGAAAGGTAGCAAGGACTAGGGTTGGGTAAAAAATATTGATTTCTACAAAACGATATAGAATCAATTTGTCTAGCCTGTTTTCAGTTAATGGACCGAACACTGTCGCACCTCCCATCCAATAAATTGCAATAACCTTTGTGCTTTTTTAATTTTGATATGAAACTAAGTCTCAGATTTCAAATTCTTTACATTTTATTACAGTATTCAAACAATAAATGCAGTTTTGGCGTTGTTTAATGTGGAGTGACAGATCGTTGTAGTGCCTCAGTTTAATAGAAGCGGCAGCACAAAACGCACGTGAACTGATCATCCGCTTTAATACCAGCTTCAACACCAAATAAACAGAAAAAAGCATTCAAAGGTTTGTTAAAAGAAAGAGTACAACTTACTGAAATCCGCATCTTCAACCGTGAAAAAACGGCAGTATAACAGCTTGTAAACAGTATGTCACGTAACAAAGTTTACCTCAGAAAAAAAAACATATTTGGTCACCATAAACTTGTTAGTAAGCTCGAAAAAATGAACTCTAGAAAAGGGAATTTTGCTAAATATATGCACCATATAACATTTTCATAAATTTTTACTGTACTTCAATGTTTAATTTATGTTTGAATAAATCCATTTTTATGACGTTTAAAAAAAATGAATTGGAGTAGAAATATAATTATGCAACTATATTTATATATATTTTCATTGAGTGTAATTTAAGCGTTTGTATACATACTAGTTAATTTTAACCTTCAGTATAGTTATGTAGTTCAATTCGATATTGAATCGAACCGGAAATCGAATCGCAAGCTTGTGAATCACAATCGAATGGAATCGTCAAATCTGTGTCAAAACCCACCCCTAATAAGGACATCATTAAAATAGTGCATGTGACATCAGTGGTTTAACCGTAATTTTATGAAGCTACGAGAATACTTTTTTTTTTTTTGCACAAAGAAAACAAAAATAACGACTTTATTCAACAATTTCTTCTCTTCCATGTCAGTCTTCAACGTGTTCACGAGAGTACCACGACACATTCATGTGCATTCCTCTACTTATAAACAATGTGCGGCACATCCAGGTTCTATGTCAGAACGCCAGCTCCTGCACCAGCAGCATCACACGTATGCGTCGTGGTACTATGCAGGGTCAGAAAGCTCTCAGATTTCATCAAAATATCTTAATTTGTGTTCCGAAGATGAACGAAGGTCTTACAGGTTTGGAACCACATGAGGGTGAGTAATTAATGACAGAATCTTTATTTTTGGGTGAACTATTCCTTTAATGTGAAGTATGTTGGTCTACAAAGCTATAGCTATGTACATTAGGGTGACGGTGAGGAAATTTTCCCACCGGTTAATCGACGTGTGACAACACCGGTAATACCGGTATCACCGCGGGGGCGGGGCGTTCCCTCTTTTCCTCACTAGGGCTGTCGCGGTGAGGGAATTTCCCTTGCTGTAATTTTGAGTGGCTCAATAGCGCGGTATATGCGGTATTACCGCCATAAATATACATATATATATATATAATTTGTGTGTGTATGTGTTACGATCAGTGTTGGGAGTAACGCATTACAAAAGTAATAATATTACAGTAGTATATTACTTTTTGCTGTAACGCAGTAATATAACGCATTACTAATCAAATTTGGGTAATATTATTACTCGTTACAATCTCAGTAACGCAAGTTACAACAACATATTTTAACTCAAAATTAAGTGGTGAATTTACTAACACCGCAAAACAGCACCAGAGAAAAACATCCGCGGGTAAAATAGTTTGTCTATCTTCTGTTGCTGGAATTAGATGGTTGAGATGACTGCAGAGACGGATTCTACATTTGTGAGATGGACACACTCCTGTTATTTTCAGTTCATCGGAGAAAAGGATAAGAATGCATAGTCAGGTGCAATATGTGCAACACCAAACTCTCAACATGGAGAAATAGCACGAGTAAAACCTAGAAACACCTAGACTGGTGCCACTAACACTAAGCTATCGGAGAGAGAGCTGCGGGGTCGGAGAAGAGAAAAAGACGGCGGACGAGCAACAAAAATTAAGTTTAACCAAAAATAAAATCTGTTTTTATTAAATCATAGTGTATATATAAAATGAATGAATATGCGAAATATTTGACTTAAATAGCCTAATTAACAGATTAACAAAACGAAAGGAAAAGACTGAGAGATAGGCTATGTTGCTGAGTTTGGTTCATATGCTATTTGTGTGGCGCGGCGCTCTACGAAAGTCCAGGGAAAGGAAACCGAGATGACAGAAATAAAGTAAACACATTGCAGTTTCAAATGATCTGTATGACCAAAAATAACAGAGTATTTTTTTGTTGTTTGTTTCCGCTGTTCGATCGCGCCGGCGCCTCACGCACACACATACAGCATTGCAAACGTTGCAGCCTGTTCATTATCAGAATAAAATACAGTCAACCAAACATATAGATACACTGGTTAATTTAAATAGTGCGTAGCCTACTGCGTAGTACAATCCGTGTCGATCAGCCTGAGCTCGGGCCAAACACACATTTGCTCATGTGACGAGGATGTTTTTTAAGTGCGTTAAGTAAGCTTGGATTACATAAAGCATTCAAATACATCGCAAATATGGACACATTTAATGGATTAATGCCGAATGAGAGAGGTAGGCTGCGCGAGAACGCCGTTTGCTTTCAGTTTCGCATTGAATTAGCCTAATTCATTTTGGCTTGTTTAGCAACTTATATTTTTCATTCTTGTTTTCTTCTGAAACCGTTCAAAATAGCCTATAGGCTAGGTATTGTGTTTATTGTTTGTACATGATAATATTTCGCTTTATTTACCAGTGTTATTTATGAATGTAATAATGCGATTTGTGCTTACTATATTTTTTTTAACTAAACTACAACGTAACATTAATGTAGACCTACATACCGGTATCTAAATATGATTTCATATTTTATGCTATATAGACCTACCACATTACACTCCACTGAATGTAGTATGAACAGCAATAAACTACATTTTGGCATTTTACAATACTTATGTGGATATTTTGGATGAAAGTAACTCAAAAGTAACTCAAAAGTAGTGTAACGCATTACAATTCAGAGACAGTAATATTGTAATGTAACTAATTACTTTCAAAAGACAGTAACTAGTAATATATAATGTATTACATTTTGGAAGTAACTTGCCCAACACTGATATTAAGTGTCTTTTGAACCTCAACTAAGCAGAACAAAGGTGACAGTGGCAAGGTGCCTAAACTCCATCAGGTGATACAAATGGGGGGGAAAAAACATGAGAGATTGTAGGACTTATGCTTCATTACATTTACATTCTGCTACATGTTCTTTGTATGCACACATTTCTTCAAAGCAATCACTCTGAGCCCTTTACACCAAACCCAGTCACAGTTTACTCACAGCTCACACTCATCATCACACCTGACTTCCTCACCAGGACTCGACCAGTTTGACGGATGGCTGGCTCTGAAGATTGGTGGGTAACAAGGTGACTTCCCTCATCGTATTGGCCAACCTCACTGCCAGTTCTTTCCTCAGAAACATGTAGGAGGTTTTTTCACATGCATTTTCCCTGCCTGGTTAAACAAGAGGCAAGAACAAGTTACTCTTTGTTTTCCGATGTTGAGGCTATATGTATGCATGAGTGTGCACTTCTACAGCAGAATTACAACTATTGTATACTGCAAAAGATTATCAATCAAGATTATCAAAAGAATTATCAATCAAGAGCACTAAAAAGGAATGTTACACCTGAAATAGTATATATTATACACACTACCAGTCAAAGTATTATTATTATT